ATATTTGAAACAACTTTTATTTTTGTAACTCTTAGCTCAGAGACGGAATGAAGAGAACAGATGCCTCATTTGTTACATCAGATGGTGCAGTGACAAGTTCTCCTAGCAACTGATACCTAATGTCTTGTGATCTCAGAATCAAGATGGAAAATCTCTTGGCCATTATCTATCAGAACCACTAGATAGACCCCCCTGGAGCCTATCCCTCAAGTGTGCATGAACACTAGCGTCAGGAACTTGTCTCCTGAGTGCAAAAAAAATCAGCACTTTCCAAACCTCCCGACCCAACAAGACGTATGGTTTTACTGAGTGATCTGTTAGCTCCAGAAAGTGAATCAGCACAGTACCAATTTTCATGAGCTGGAATGCATTAAGGGCATAGGAAGGAAACAGAAAAGTAGAGCAGCCAGCCAGAGAAGGCATAAAAGAGGGAAAAGAACAAACAAAGGAAGATGACGAGATGTAGACAAATGAATAGAAGAGCAAGATTAAAATAGAATTCAGCAGTACCATTTGAGTAATATAAAAAAAATTTGATTTCTTCAAATTCTGTTTAAAGTGTGGTTCACGTCTCACATTGATTACTGGAGTTTCCATTGTTGTTTGTTTCTTCTCTACTTAACATCCTCCTCCTCTGCCCCAAATTTCTGCACTGGTTTCCTGTCTTACTTCAAATTCAAACTCCTTATCCTCTCCTACAACACCAGACTCATTTACTTACTAATGCCTGTCACTCCTTCTGCTTATTCCAATCTTCTCTCTCTCTTTTCCTAGGATAGGCTTTATGCCTTCAATCATGTTGCCCCATGCTAGGAATACACTTCCCTACCCTCATCCACAGAGCTTCCTCTCTTAACAATCCATCATCTCCCTTTCTCATCAATAATTCCCACAGGCTCCCTGTCCTGAACTGTGATCGTATTTAAATTGTAACAGCTTCAGGACAGGGCATTGGTCTTAACTCTTTGTAAAGAGTCGTGTAGATTTATAGCACTACGTACACTTTTAATACAGGTGATAAAAAAACAGAACTACCACCATATACTTCTCCTCTAGCGTTAAAAGGAGAAGCCAAGACAGAAGGTCATCAGAAATTACACCTTTCCTCACATTTAAAAAACTAAGGGAGTACAGTACTAAAAAAAAGCAATAGTGTGAAAGTTCTAGAAACGGAAATCCAGAGAAGTATTCAAGGTATGGACAGTGAAATGAAATCTTGTACAGACATTCTATAGATTTCACTGCATTTTCTACAGGAAATGGCCTCTCTTTGAATGATAAAAGGCATGGTATACTCAGGACTGGCCTTTGGGGTACACAGGAAGGATATACCCATTTTGGAAGCTCACTGTCATGGGCCTTTTTTACCTTAAATATATGAGATTAGTCATTTTTGTTCCTGAAAATCTTAAAAACAAACTGATTGCTGCTTCTGGAAGTCTGACTCAGTTTTTTTCCTAACAGTTAGTCTTCCATCACAACTGCCCAGGGCTGGCACTAAGGGGTGTGTGAAGACCAGAAGTCAGGGATCTCTCCATTTTGAAAGGAAACCCTGGAGGCTGGGTAGCTGCCCAGAATGCTGGTGATAGTATTAGGGCCAAACACAAGTTGCATCTCAGCCAACTAAATTGGCTCCTCTGTTGAGAAGCCAATGTGGAATCTGGCCATGGAAAAGGTGGTTAGTGTAGTGAAGAGCAGTGTAGTCTAGCACAGCCGTTCTCAAACTTGACTGCACTACGACCTCCTTCTGACAACAAAAATTACGACATGATCCCGGGCGGGAGAGGGCCCGAGCCCCGTCACCATGGGTGGGGTAAAGGGGGCCAGAGCCCTGCCGTCCCAGACTCAAGTCCTCAGGCTTTCGCTACAGCCCCAGGCGGCGGAGCTCAGGCTTTGGCTTCAGCCCTAGGCCCCAGTGAGTCTAACGCTGGCCCTGGCGATCCTAAAATGGAGTCACAACCCACTTTGGGGTCCTGACCCACAGTCTGAGAACCACTGGTCTAGCAGACTAAACTTGGAACTTGTTCTACTCCCATCTCTAACACAGACTCTTTGGTCTGACAAATCATATAGCCTTTTAGCACTGTAACTGTTTCCCTTGTCTGCCCTGCTACACCCAGCTGTTGGCTTGTCTTAATTCAGGCCCCAATCCTACAGGCATTTACACATACTTAAATCAATTGCCTAGCCACATGCGCATATAGTGAAGCACATGCATAAGTGTGTACAAGGTCAGGACATTGGTTTGTAAGCTTCATGGCAGGGACGGTCTCTTACTATGTGTTTGTACATTTACCAGTGCAATGCGGCTATGATTCAAATTGAAGCCTTAGGGTGCTACAATATTTTCTCTCGTGTAAAATAGCAACAATGCTACTTACCTCCTTACAGTGTGTTGTGACAATTAGTTCATTTTTAGAGCACCAATTATTGTCATACACAGAACAAATGAGAGAGAGAGGACTGCAGAGAGAAGGAGGGATAGAAATGAAAATGCAGTAAGTAGAGGGGAAAGAACAGTAAAGCAAGGGGACGAGACAACAAGGAAGATCAAAAATATTAATATGAAGAAAAATTAGATGAAAGGGTGCTGCTTTTTAAAGAAAAGACGACAAATGGAAGGAAGAATGAAAAAGAAGATAAGTCAAAGTAAGAGATGGAAGAAGATTAAGGGAGGATAAAAAAATGGAAATAGAAAAGATTGCATATACTGAATACAGCTAACTAAAAGCTATTTTCTCCTATTGAACTATCCTGACAAACATCCCATATATTTGTTTGTTTGGGAGAAGTGGATAGTTATTCTACCCACATATATTAATACTTCTGACTATGCTGGATTCTACAGATAATTAATCTGTCAAATTCAGTGCAAATCAGAAAAAGCAATGGCTGGAAGTTTAATATATACAAATTCAAATTAGAAATATGGCATATTTATTTATTTTATTTAAACAATGAGGGTGATTAACCACTGGAACAAACTACCAAGAGAAGTGGTGGATCCTCCATCTCTTGAGGTCTTCAAATAAAATCTGGAATCCTTTCTGGAAAATATGCTTTAAATCAAACATGTTTCTAGGCCCAATGCAGGAGTAACTGGGTTAAAATCTATGGCCTGTATTATACAAGCGGTCAGACTAGATGATCTAATGGACCCTTCTGGCCTTTCAATATAGCTCTTCATATTTTTAAATTGCTGCACTTCAGCAAAACTTTGTTTTTACTGATACTTTATCTAAAATTTCATTCCCATTATTGTTGTTTAGCATCTTTTTATGTACAGCAAAAAAATGGATTTCTACTGCAGAACAGTATTTCCCAAATCTTCTCCACAACTCATTCGGCCAAAGCACAAACCGGGGATGTTTGTGAGATAACAATTTGTCACCACAGAAATAATTTTGGTGGCACAAACACTGGAGAGTGATATTACAAAATGAGTCAGGTGGAAGACAGATTAGAAAGTAAAAAGCTCTGGTACACAGTCAAATATCTTGGTAAACAGCAACACAGGAGCCAAAACACAAAACAGGCATGACAATTTGAATTTGTTACCTTCGTTGTATGTAGCTCTAGAAACACTGGCACACAAACTTTACCAAAACCCAGATACCAGTTCAACAGCACTGAAATTCATATCACAGTCACAACGTATCACAATATCTATGGCTGCCTCTGATCAGAGGAGGAACAACGAATAAGCCACCATGCAGGCCCACTTGATCTTTACATTGACAGAACCTCAAAGCCGTTGCTTGCAGTATGACTGCTTTAGACAATGTCAGTTATTACATTTGTCTTGCATTACCTCTTGGCCTCAAATACTAGATGCACATAATACACTTTAGTAGTGTGATATTCTGTTTTCTTAACAGGAATTAACAGATCAAAAAGTTTTAATTTAGCACTATTTGCCTCCTTTTCAAACAATGCCAGGAATTCAATTGTCAGCAAACACATACACACAAACCATGAGATTCCAGCAGACACCATACAAAATTATTCCTGATGTGTCTCAAACATGAATATTCATGATACGTTTTACTAGATTATTAAAATTTGATTCCATTCACGTGAGTAGTCACATTTAATGAACATATTTGGTATAGCAAGCTTCTGTTTGACATCTTGTTGCATATTCATTTGGCTGTCATTGTTACTGACATGCCAGGATCTGATTATCTCCAGAAAGGTCATGCAATTAATTACCACCCAGTCACAAGGAGTATAACATAAAATAGGTAAGCAAAAATTCATAAAACTGTTGTGAGGAAGACACGCCACATTTTACTTCAGTTCAGAAAATGTGAGAAAATTTCCATTATTTATTCTCTATCAAATGTAAACTAAGCTTTTACTGTCCATTGGTAATCCAAAAAGTATTTAGATAATCAGGAGTCATGTTGCAGTAAAATTTTGATTTTTAAATGCAGCAACTCAAGCTGCTTTTGTAACTTATCACTTAATTGAAAGATAGCTTTGCAGCATTTAATACAGGGCTTGGCTGACTATAAGCACCTTAAACCCTGGCATTTAACTGCCTAGATTAGGTCTTTATACAAAGGAAACAGCAACAACATTTGAATATGTTGATCCTATGGAAAGATTGTCATAGTCCTTTTAAAGTAAAACTATTTTAAAGGATATTTAGACTTTAAAAAATTCACCATGGAGCAACAAATAATCTCCTAACTAGGGATTTACTGTGACTGTCATGAAGTGGTACCATATGGTACAAATCCATTTAATTTGACCAGTTTATTAGTCTTAATTTGCATGGCATTGAAATATCTTCACTGGTTTGTGAAATGCATATATTCATTCTCTCTCTCACACACACACACTTTTCTTTTTAAGGTAATCTATTTCTTAGCCAACACCAAGTAAACGGTACATGATTTGGTTTAAAGACTCAATCATTATATTTCTATAAGAATGAATGAACACATGCACCAAAAATCAGAAGTGAAATATGAGAAATTCTACAGCCCATTTACCTGGACCTCGCTTGTCCTCAGTTTGATAGTATCTTCTTTCTCCTTCAGTTCCTGTTCCACATTATTCTTTTCCCTAGAAGACCAACAAAATATGCAAGAATACTTAAGAACATCAGTTACAGCAGGTACAGTTATCCAGCCCCCTAATCCTGTCTCTCTTTTTAAATACATAGTGAAACATTAAATAAAGAAAAAAAATTTAGGGTGTCTCCGTTCCTTAAATTATTTACAAAGCAGATGATTATATATATATGCCCAGCATAAAAAAGCCTTCTCATTGAAGAGGGGTTAGGTGAAAAGAACAGCTCAAAAAGGGAAAGGGGGGGGGGGGGAAATCAATGAAATACTGTCTTCAGTGATCTCACTGTTGCCATGGAGCAATTGTCTAATGAAGACTGCTGGGAAAAGTGGGAGGGATTGCATCAGCTTCCATATATTTAACCCTTGGAAACACAGGTAAAACAACTAGGAAACAATTCACAGCACCAGGGAACCAAGTCATTAGCTAGTAAGTTTAGCTGTACTCAAACAGTTTTTGGTACCATTTATAGAGAAGTTTAGAGACAAAGCAAAAATGCTAGTTTGACTTTAACCAGATGAACCCAGAGACCCCATATACAGATATGTGCTGTGTCACATCAAATCTGCTTCTACAGAAATATATTCAAGATTAAGTAACAATGATTACTGATGGCTGGATAATGATCACTGATAAATTCCTAGCTATCATTGATAATGATAGTAATAGAAAAAAACCCAAGTCAGACAAAAGATTTCCTTTTTAAACATATAAGCAAGTGTTTATTTCTGAGCAAGAAATGCAACTCTCCGCCTTTGTGGCTGTACAATGACATCCCAGGCTTAACAAAGCAGATTTTGTTAAAGTTGTGTACAAGTTAAGTTATTTTCTCAATAGATCAATTTATTTTTACTCTATGGATTTTTTCTTTTTACATTTGTTTATTCTAGAACACATATACAAACAGAAGAAAAACAGAAGCTTACCTTTCACTCCATCTCCCTACACTTATTTTTTAATCACAGAGACAACACTGGAGTAGACTTGCGCAATTATTATTTATTAGGGCTGTTAAGCGATTAAAAAATTAAGCGCAATTAATCACACTGTTAAACAATAGAATGACATTTATTTAAATAATTTTAGATGTTACCTACATTTTCAAATATATTGATTTCAATTACAACACAGAATACAAAGTGTACACTACTCACTTTATATTTATTTTCATTACAAATATTTGCACTCTAAAGAACAAAAGAAATAGTATTTTTCAATTCACCTAAGTACTGTAGTGCAATCTTTTTATCATGAAAGTTGAACTTACAAATGTAGAATTATATACAAAATAATTGCATTCAAAAATAAAACCATGTAAAACTTTACAGCCTACAAGTCCAATCAGTCCTACTTCTTGTTCAGCCAATATCTCAGACAAACAAGTTTGTTTACATTTGCAGAAGATAATGCAGCCCGCTTCTTGTTTACAATGTCATCTTAAAGTGAGAATAGGCGTTCACATGGTACTGTTATGACTGGCATTGCAAGATATTTACGTGCCAGATGCGCTAAAGATTCATATGTCCCTTCATACTTCAACCACCATTCCACAGGACATGCATCCATGCTCGATAACGATCCAAAGCAGTGCAGACCGATGCATGTTCATTTTCATCATCTAAGGCCTGGTCTACACTGGGGGGAGGGGGGGAAATCGATCTAAGTTACGCAAGTTCAGCTACATGAATAACGTAGCTGAAGTCAACGTACTTAGATCTACTCACTGTGGTGAGTCGACATCTGACGCTCCCCTGTCAACACCGCCTGCGCCTCTCGTTCCGGTGGAGTACCGGAGTCGAAGGGGGAGCGCTTGGTGGTCGATTTATCGCGTCTAGACTACAAGTGGATTCATAGGCTCTAAAGTTTTACATTGTTTTGTTTTTGAGAGCAGTTATGTAAAAAAAACCCCTACATTTGTAAGCTGCACTTTCATGATGAAGAGATCGCACTACAGTACTTGTATGAGGTGAATTGAAAAATACTATTTCTTTTATCATTTTTACAGTGCTACATTTGTCAAAATAAATGTACAGTGCTCACTTTATACTTTGTATTCTGTGTTGTAATTGAAATAGATATATTTGAAAATGTAGAAAATCAAAAATATTTAATAAATTTTAATTGGTATTCTATTGTTTAACAGAGCAATTAAAACTGCAATTAATCATGATTAATTTTTTTGCATTGATTGCATGGGTTAACTGCGATTAATCAACAACCCTATTATTTATATTGGCAGCATCTAGAACAGTGATACAAAGACTGTGGCTCTCAAGCTGAAAGTGGCTCCTGCAGCACATTATATCAAAATACTGTGTGATTTAATTATTAACCGGTCTAAATTATTAGACAATCAGGATGCTTTTACTATGTTATTAACCAATTGTAGTTGATAAAATAATAATACTTGGTCAGTCATTATGCTGAGAGAATTTATATATTTCCCCTATCAGACTGTTTAAATATGAATATATAGTACCACAGTAAATGAAACCATGAATTCACACTACTGTGGCTCTTTGGGGTAATGCTGATTTGGCTCCTTAACCACAGAGGTCTCAGTGTCACTGGTCTAGAGACTTCAGTCAGGATCAGGAACTGATTCTACCATCTGAAGCACAAAACACATAAGACAGTCCCTGCCCCAAAGGAGCTAACATTCTAAACAGACAAAGAACAGCATGTGGGAAAGGAATAAAAAATACAAGTGAAGTGCCCAGGATGATCTGGCATGCATTTTATTAGTTCATTTTTTTATTAATTTGTTTAAAATTAATTTTATTAACAGGCAAGGACGAGATGGTGAGTAAGTATGAGATGAAGGTGGAGAGAGGAAAACAGCAGGAAAGTTTTCCCACACATGCAGATGGGGAGAAAAGGGAAGGCTTCTCGGGCAGCTACCCCTGCCCACGTTAAGAAGTGATGATGGCTGGGCCTGTCACTATCCCAGTGCTCCTTCCAGATGTTTTAGATAAACTCATCTACCCACAAGGTCAAGGAATGTTTTAATTAACAGCAACAGGTTGTCTCCAATCCCTCACTGGTGGTGGTCCCATTACTCCCTCCCCCCTTTTTTTAATTTCACAACCACACTCCCTTTCCTGAATCCTCCCCTCTCCACTAACTTAGTCTGTATACTACCAACAAAATAAGCACTTACATTCTATTACACAATCTTGGGGGTATGTACAAAGACTGCCTGGTGATTCTGCCCACTCTCTTTACTTCTACAATCTTTTCTTAAAATCTTGATAGAAACCCTTTATCATTACAACAACTGTTCCACACACACACACACACACACCTCTCCAAAGAATTCCACCTGCTTTTCTTCTGTGGTATTTATAATAAAACTTGTCAACTTAGAAATTAACAGAAATTTGGAGCTTGTCTACAGATTAAGTGTACAAACTTCATCTTAATAAAGGTGCATACGTACCCTGCTTTCTACTGAAAGGACAAGTATCAAGCCTCATAAGACAATATGCCTGTGCTCAAGCCTCTACTACCCAACAGAAAGGAAAAGGAAGATTATGTTTCCCCTTTCCACACACCAGTAGTATTTAAAATCGTATGTTGCACAAACGAATCTAATGCCTTTTAGACCCAACAGTAAACCATGTCAATATGAGGTCAGCACTTCAACGAAGAGCGACCATAGTGAATCTAACAGACGAAATAGCATATGCCAATAGTTTACTCAATTACAATTAGGGTTTAAAAATATCAAATTCTGTTAAAAAAATACTAAAGAAACCATTAGCGAGTAACTAAGATATAAGATTGATGTAATTCTCCTTTACCTACCTCTGCAGATCAACTATCTCATTGTTTAAAGTATCAAGCTCTTTAATTGCAGAAAAATCTGCCACCGCAGTCAGTCCTAAAGAGCTCTGTAAAATAGAAAATAAATATCTTAATTTAATGTATAGAATATAAATTAGACTGACTTAGTATTGAGCTCTAGCGAATAAAACGTAAACTTAATTCTAAGCCTATTCTTATAGAACTGCCCGACTCCACCGCCACTACAGTGAAACTCTTGTGAAAACCATCAGAACTTTCAACTATTTGCATATGGAGGTTTCCTATAAATTGCACTTGCTTCCTTAAACAGGATTTGGATTATCTCCTTCCTCATTCCAAGAATAAAATTTTCTGCCCAAGAACAGATACAAACAAGGCTGTGAAGTGTAACTACATAAGTGTCATTTTTAAGTGCAGTCTCACCCAACACAAGTAATAGGGCAACTTTTAGCTTGGAAGTTTTAGGACTCTCAATATTTTAGAACCGGAAAGAATAAAGTGATGGTCACTTTAACATTTCATAAAGCCCTGAAGAACAGTAACTTGAAAGAGCAATCATATGCAGGGGAAAAAAAGTATATATAAACCTAAACAGCCCTTAGCATAAATATGGAACCATATATTAGCTAAATATATTTTGTACCAAAAAAAGAAAACTGCATGAAATTGTGAATTGTAACATATGGCCATTAGAATGCGTGCTCTTGCGTGTATGGTTTTTTTTAAATTGAGAAAATAAGAGCTTGCGTTTAATCTCAGTTCTATTCTGAAAAGGGACTCAACATGGCATTGTTGTTTTCCTTGTTCATTGTGTTCCAGTGACTCCAGATCAAACATGCTAAACTTACAAGAAAAGTGTTTTTCTCTAAATGCACAAACTCTGGTCTGGTAGTGCCACCCTCCCTACCCCACATCTTCTCATGCATCACCAGTTATAGAAATTCCTTTTTTAAAGTTTATTTTTATTTTTTGCATATAAAATATTAATGTAACATAATGAAATGAAACAAAACATACATAAATACATGCACAAGTTGGAAATACCATATAAATAACAACATTCAATGTACATTGTTTGTAATGCCTGGAAAAACCACAACAAACCAACCAACAAAACCTGAACCTGTAGGGGACATGTAGGGCCGTTATACAGATTCTGCAGGCTAAATTATACCCTGTTTTAAACCAGTAACTGAACTGAAGTGTAACCCAGCTTGACTTTCAATTCCCAGATGGAGCTGTATGGCCCGGCAGCTAGAAAAGCAAACCTCTTTTTACTTCTAAATTGCACATATTTGGTATGGGAGCGAGTGAAAGACAAATTCCATACAGCTTCAAGGCCATTGTTACACTAACTGCACACTCTTTTTGTAATGCTTATAAATTTGGAGATTACAGAATAGGGGACAAAGTATTAGGTAGAGTCAGGCAGGGTATAATGGTGTTGTTGTCCAGGTTTGGCCACACAAATGTGGCAATTCACTTCAAACCTGACATGAACATAAGAACGGCCATATTGGGTCAGACCAAAGGTTCAGCTAGCCCAGTATCCTGTCTTCCAAGGAGTGGCCAATGCCAGGTGCCCGAGGGAAATGAACAGAACAGGTAATCAAGTGATCCATCCCCTGTCGCCCATACTCAGCTTCTGGCAGGCAGAGGCTAGGGACACCATCCCTGCCAATCCTGGCCAATAGCCATTAATGGACCTATCCTCCAGGAATTTATATAGTTCTTTTTAAACCCTGTTAGAGTCTTGGCCTTCACAACATCCTCTGGGCAAAGAGTTCCACAGGTTAACTGTGCATTGTGTGAAGAAATACTTCCTTTTGTTTGTTTTAAACCTGCTGCCTATTGATTTCATTTGGTGACCCCTAGTTCTGGTGTTATGAAAAGAAGTAAACAACACTTCCTTATTTACTTTCTCCACACCAGTCATGATTTTATAGAGCTCAATCATATCCCACCTTAGTCGTCTCTTCTCCAAACTGAAAAGTCTCAATGTTATTAATCTCTCCTCATACAGAAGCTGTTCCATACCCCTCATCATTTTTGTTGCCCTTTTCTGAACGTTTTTTTTTTGAGATGGGGCGACCACCTCTGCACACAGTATTCAAGATGTGGACGTACTATGGATTTATGTAGAGGCAATATGATATTTTCTGTCTTATTATCTATCCCTTTCTTAATGATTCCCAACATTGTTTGCTTTATTGACTGCTGCTGCACATTGAGTGGATGTTTTCACAGAACTATCCACGACTCCAAGATCTCTCTCTTGAGTGGTAACAGCTAATTTAGACCCCATCATTTGATATGTATAGTTGGGATTATGTTTTCCAGTGTGCATTACTTTGCATTTATCCACATTGAATTTCATCTGCCATTTTGTTGCCCAGTCACCCAGTTTTGAGAGATCCCTTTGTAGCCTGCCTGGGACTTAACTATCTTGAGTAGCTTTGTATCATCTGCAAATTTTGCCACCTCACTGTTTACCCCTTTTTCCAGAACATTTATGAATATGTTGAATAGGCCTGGGCCCAGTACCGACCCCTGGGGGACACCACTATTTACCTCTCTCCATTCTGAAAACTGACCATTTATTCCTACCCTTTGTTTCCTATCTTTTACCCAGTTACCAATCCACGAGAGGACCTTCCCTCTTATTCCATGACACCTTACTTTAAGAGCCTTTGGTGAGGAACCTTATCAAAGGCTTTCTGAAAATTTAAGTACACTATATCCCCTGGATCCCCCTTGTCCATATGCTTGTTGACCCCTCAAAGAATTCTAGCAGATTGATGAGGCATGATTTCCCTTCACAAAAACCATGTTGACGCTTTTCCAAAAAAACTCCCCTAAAGGGGGAGGGATAGCATAGTGGTTTGAGCATTGGCCTGCTAAACCCAGGGTTGTGAGTTCAATCCTTCAGGGGGCCATTTAGGGATCTGGGGCAAAAATCTGTCTGGGGATTGGTCCTGCTTTGAGCAGGGGGGTGGACTAGATGACTTCCTGAGGTCCCTTCCAGCCCTGATATTCTATGATTAAATTATGTTCATCTATGTGTCTGAAAATTTTGTTCTTTACTATAGTTTCAACCAGTTTGCCCGGTACTGAAGTCAGACTAACTGGACTGTCATTGCCGGAATCACCTCTGGAGCTCTTTTTAAAAATTGGCTCACATTAGCCAAGAGACATGCAAGGTCCCTGCAGCTCTAAGACTAGTGCCTCTCAAATCCAGACTTGGAGTCATAATCAAAACGCACAATTGTTTTTCACAGATCAGGATTCCCAGTGAACTAGGATTTCTGATGGCATCTACACTCATCCAAAAACTGAAATGAATACTTGAAAAACAGTTTTCGGGCTGCAGAGCAGCGCACTGGTAGCCATGTAAGTCTGCTGTAAATTAGATCAGCCCCAGGGATCCACCCACACAGAACTCATGGCAGGATCAGAGCTTTACTTGCCTTTTCTCCACAGGGGCAATCAATTCAAAAGCCCTTTCATTATCTGACCTCTTTAGAGGTTTGAAGATGTTTAAGGGCCTGGATCCACCCTGCTAAAAGACCGTTGAGGCTTTTTAGAAACGGCTGAGATAATGTTGGATCGTGAGAGGCACTAGCCTCCCCCCAACATACAGTATCCCATCAAGTCTCTTCTTGAGGTCACCTCTAAGAACAAAATCCCCCTCTAATATTAAGGATTGGCTAATTGACAGATCTCAAAAAGTTGTTTTCAGTGGGGAACCATCACAAAGTAGGGGTGACTCTAGTGGGGTTCTGCAGGGATCGGTACTATGTCTAATACTATTCAATATTTTCATCAATGATCTAGAAGTAAATATAAAATCACTGCTGATTAAATTTAAGGATGAGACAGAGTGGTGGAGTGATATATAATGAGAAGGACAGGGCAGTCACATACAGCAATCTGGATCACATGGTAAATTGGACACATTCAAAATGCGTTTTAATGCAGCCAAATGCAAAGTTATACCTCTTGGAACAAGGAATGTAGGCCATACCTACACAACGGGAGACTGTATCATGGGAAAGGATTTGGGGGCATAGTGTTCAAGCAATTCAACAGGAGCTCTCAATGAGATACTGTGGCAAAAATAGCTAATGAGGTTCTTGGATATATAACCAGTGGGGTAGTGAGGTGATTTTACTTCTGCATACAGCATTGGTGAGACCAATACCAGAATACTTCATCTAGTTCTGGTGCCCATATCTTAAAAAGGATGTTGAAAAATTGGAGAGATTGCAGAAAATTAATTAACCTATTACATCACCTACTCTCTTCCCCCAAGAAACCAATTATATTAATTCTTGCTGACAGTCACATTAGTAAAGATAGAACTCTACCAGGAAAATGATTTCTTGTCAACCCATTCCTTTCCTCCACCCCAACAGTGAGTCATGCTATATAATTACACCTGTTGACATTTTTTGCTACTAGAATGTCATCACATTGGCAGAGGGAATCAAAAGAATAATGGTGCAGCTGAACAGTTCTCACTCTGCACAAGCCACAATATGTGATGCCACTTCAGTGGCTGTCAGCAGCACTTGTTCCCCTCCCCACCTCGATTTTTAGCCATCCCGTATAAATCCCAAGTAGGGACATGTAGTTGTCTACACTGGATATTTTATTGCATAAAAGAGCATCTCTTTTGAGAAGAGCTGCATGTTCAGTCAGTTGAACAGATTAATAAGTGTTCATCAATTCCCTTGTAATGTTCAAAAGTATGGGAGGGATTTACAGAACCAGCTGAAACCCATATCCTTCCCTCGTTTAAATTATTTCTTAGTCGTTTCGTATATTGAAGTTAAAATTCACCGCAAACCTCAGTTGATCTCAGTATTTTAGGAATGCTAAGAAGATATCATGTGATGCACTAAAAAAAGTAGCAAGCAATACTGATCTCAACTACTGTACAATCAAAGTCTGGACATCAAATGTTTCACAACACCTTCTGTAACAGCATGGATACGCTCCAGTGATAGTGCCAGTTATCAGTTATGGGGGTATTTACACTTTGTCTTGGCATTTTCTCTGCAGTTTCAATGGGATAAAACATGTCACTTTCTATTCTGAACTTCAGCAGCACACAAAAATCACAACAGCTACCAACATTTGCCCCCCCTCCCCCCCCGAGATGGCTGAATTTCTCTGATAGCTGGAACAATCTTTATTGATAAACAGAGTAAACTAATAGTTTTTAATGTCATTTTAAGTTTGCAAAGCAACATGGGACCCTTACAGATGAACGGCTAGTTAAAACAGCAATAATTTCAGATTTCAGCTTAACTCAATATCTACCTAATACTATGCTATTTCAAAGACTACTGAAGAGACCTTTAGAAATGTTCGTTATCAAGCCAACAGATATCATATATTAGAAAAAGCAAAGATCCTCTAACCTTGAGAAAGCAGAGTTAAGAAACGGACAGAATAATAAAGATGTAAAGCAGAGTGGTGCAGAATGGAAAAAATAGTCCAAACTGGAAAAAAGACAGAAAAGAAAGCAAAACACACAAAAAAGATTAGTAAAGGCACAAATAAAGCAGGTTTTTTTTTTTTTTTTAAACTGAATTTAAAAAAAATTAGGTACCAATTGCAAAGAACTCAAAAGTCATGCAAAAATTTCAAGTTTATCATTTTTCAGGTGAGACTTTCTCATTCTGTTTATTATGAAGATAGCACAGCTGCGTCAATGTTTAGCAGAACCAAGAGAAAATGTTAGTAATGACAGCTATTACAATGCATCATACACAGATAAGATTTTGTTGTGACCTCTATTTGACTGCTGCGCTAATAAATAAAACTTTAAGCAATTAAAAGCCATTGAGTCAATACAGCAATGGATTGTTTAATGGCCAAAAGGGTATGAGGACATTTGAAATGTTATTATGAATACAAATGGATAGTTAAAAAATTTAAAACATGCTCTTTTAAATAATTAACCACAGAGCTGCAAAAGGGTTTAATTTATTTTAGTAATGACTGACTTCTTGAAAGAGGGAAATGTGAAAATTCCACTTTTAAAAAAACTCTGTCTTGATATTAAGGAAAAGGATAATTTGTACATATAGTATTTCAGGTCCACAATGAAGTTAATCCTTGGATACTCAGGAATAGGTTTATTCTTTCGACAAGCTGATTTCATGGTTCCTCGACAGCAAGGTGGCTGATGTAACAAATAAGTTTATTAAGAAAGCATTTATGCAGACATTATATCTATGGATGTAAACTGACAAAAAACAGTACATCTGTTCATGGCAGTTAATCTTGTTTTTTCTTGATAGCACAACCATGTCTTGGCATAGATTTTAAAAACTGGATTTAATTTATTTTTTTTATTTAATAGCACTTGAATTCAGAGTTTGTTTAGTATGTTTGAGGTTTCTACTTAAAAGCCAGACACATTCTTACCTTCTGTAAGCTGGCCCTATCTGATGGAGGGATCATTTCTGCAGTCAGAACTTGAGGAGGATCAATGCCCTTTGTTAACTTCTGATTAATTAAATGGAAAGCCAAGGCAAACTGTTCTTTTGAAAGCTTTCCACAGTCCTGTGTGTCACAGAGGCCCCTGTACACAAAAACACAGACACACAAAGTAACTGATTAGATGCAACACCTCATTTCTACAAGTACAATATTGTTTAGGAGTGCGTGCGCAGGCAGTGGAAAATGATGACAGCAATTAGCACTTACATACTGTTTTACATCTTCAAATCACCTTACAAACAGCAATGAATCCTCAACACTGAGGAAAGTGCATATCGTTCTCCTCTCTTGCCCCTCTCCTCCACTCTCTCCGTCACCCCCCTTTATTTTGAACACATGTATAGGAGAACTTCTGGATCTCCCAAGGAGCAGACTGGGGTTTCAAACTGGATTACCCAGAAATTAATGTCCTGGAATGGGCTTATCCAGGATGGGAGGTCCCATGGTTCTACACCTCTCTAGTACAGGGGGTCCACACATGCTCACTTCTCCTAGGTGTCCAATGTGAGATATCATGAAGGAATCCCTGATTTCTACTATATGGTGGCAGCAGTGAGGACCACATGCTCCAGATTCTGCAATGTTCATATTGTGTCCAAAGCCTTCCATTAGTAGCCCAAGTGGCGGAAGTGGCTGAGCATCAGTTAGGAGCACATGGCTGCTCATGCAGCCTCAATGGACTAAGACAGTTTTTTGGTTTTTATTTGGCACACTGCTCTTTGGACGTTGCTGCCCTTTGGACAAAAGGCTGAAGGATCCATACCATTAGAATTGATCCTATCTGCCTCTAGAGAACTCTTTTCTGCCCAGAGAAAGGGCAACAGAGGACATTTACCCAAATTGGGCTGCTAAAGGGTGTGTGTGCATTGTGCTCACTCAAGTGGCCTAAGGTCCCTGTCAAGCTGCTTAATAAGAGAGGTGGAGCAGGAGAGAGAGACTTTTTCCCTGTTTTATTCCGGTTTTGCTCTCTTCTTGACCAGTTGCAGGGTCACCAGCAAGCTGCAGCACCTCAGGAAGAAGAGCTGAGAGGAAAAAAGCTTGAGACACATATGCAGCCCTGGGACACAGCTGAAATATTGAGTTATTGAACCAAGTTGATAGAAATCTGAAATAAAGTTTTGGAATTCTCGTCAGAACTCTGCAACCGTGAGGTCTAGCTAAGCCTGCCTGTCACTGTAGCAACAGAACAAATCTGGGGAGAATTATAGCAGGCAGGACATTCCACGGATTCCGGTAATATGACTGGTCTGGTTCTGTCCAAGACACAAGCCAGCTGGAGACCCAATGTGATGGATATGTGGAACTTAGCCCTGAGAAATGAAGTGATTTTCAAAGATGCTAAGCACCTGAAGCCCCGTTTCACTTCAGAGGATTTACCAGTACTCAAAAGCTGGAAAACCAGCCATAATTAACTTTCTCAAGGCCAAACAACTAACTCGTGACAGAGCCTGGTTAAGAAAGCAGCTCCTAGACCTATCCTCAAGGTACTAGATGATGCCTCAGATATGAGCTGAAACACATTATCTAGTTTACCTAGTACTTAGAAAAAGGCACTAGGTGAAGTGAAAGTCTTAAGTCTGAAGAGTTTAAATGTAAACAAATTAATGTAAATGTATGCATTAGAAAAGTAAATATTGTGGGATATTCCGGCTAACATTTAGTAGACAAGTCTCCATATCATAAAGATCAGTTTTGGCAAATTCAAAATTGATAAAAGAATTTTTTTCATACAATTCAAAATTAAACTGTGAAACTTATTGCCATAGGAAGTCACTGAGGCCAAGAACTTAGCAAGATTCAAAATAGGAAAATGTATCCATGTTTATCTGAAAAATTTCCTTTCTTCAAGTTGTAACAGATCTGTGGACCTTATAAAGGGTACTTCAGCCTGTTTTCAAGTTGGGAACAAAACCAGACCTCTCCATCACTGGCAGCAGGGGAATGCCATGCCTCATCAAGTTCCCGCCAGTTGACAACAACTTCCACAGTGAGGATAATTCAAATCTACTGTCCTAAATTACAAAATGCATTAAATATAATTGGAGGAAAAAGCACCACAATTTCTCATACTGCTGAGCACAGTAAATTCCACCTAACAACCAACCCAAATCCTGGGATGCCGATTTCCATCTCTATTCTGAATGATGTTTGTCTCTAAGGTGGACCAGATTTGTGGATCTTATTACTTGAATAAAGGAAATTCAGGAAAGCACAAATAAGCTTTCCTATTCTTCTTCATGCTACGGGCCACAGATCCATTACCATGGATTTTCATAGCAGTGTGCCTGCAGGGTAAAAAGGGTAAATACAGATATCCAAAACAAAAGCAGATGATTAAATATCCTCTCCTAGATAAAGGCATGGAGAAAACTTCTGGCAAAACAAAGGAAGTGGCATTAGCTAAAATTAGATGAGCAGTTTGCAGAATTTGGTGAAATAATGGCTGTCTAACAGATCTCAATACAGGAGACAGGACTACTCTGCCCTGAGATTGTCAACTGCTCCTAAAGACTGACTTTAATGCTGAACTACAGGAGAAACATTTCTTTAACTTACTTAGAGAATGAATGCTATGACATTGTGAGGACTACTCAATTAAAAGTACAGTTCTGGATCTTAAGTAAAGCTCCCAACTTCAGATAAAAAGCCTCAGCCAACTGGAGATAGAGTAGGCCTCCTAATAGCTACTAACAAGTCGAGATGTAAAATCACACCTCCTGCCAGGGTTCCATCTGAGTAGTGCTGTAAGGAGCATAAGAAGGTTCCAAGTAATGGTCTCTGACCTTGCAGCGTTAGAGTAAGGACGATGCCCTAATCAAGTATTTAATGTTGGGATTTGTACAGCACTTTTCTTGAATATGATGCGATCATTATACTACAGAGACTTTGACCTTCCTTGAACACTCACAATGAAGGGGGAAATCAAAGCTATTTTTAAACTGGTTTACTATGATAGTTAAACTATGGACTTTGCACCAGCAAGTATAAGAAGTTCCATCTGTTGACTTTTCACTGGGGCTCACAAGAGCAATAATGACTTCATCCAAGTATTCATTTTAAACATGTCTGGCCCTGGATGGAGGACCAGTCTGTGAGACAGAAACAGCCTCCTCAGCCAGAAAGGCAGAAACAGGAATGAGAGAGCAGCAGTGATATCTTTTGTATTATCCAGGGGCACAGCTAAAAAAGTGGGAAGACATATAGAGGGACCATGTCCACCTTTGCAAGATGTCATTCACTACCTCATACCCCAGCTCCTGACACAGATGTGCCACAGGGCACTTTATTTACTTTTTTCAGATGCAAAGAGATCAATCACCAGCCCTCCAAACTGACTTACAACGAGTAAGATATTTCTGGATGCAGCAACCACACTGCTAATCCAACTTCTGCCATGTAAGTCTTGGTATTCATCTCCCTCAATGGGCTGTGCACATGGAGATAGGAAACTCTGCTCCACACAGGGCAGGAGAATTTCTTTGGGGTCTGGGATGATCGTGTTCTTCCCAGTTACTAAGAAAACCCTATTAAACACGTTCTCTGTCACCACCAGAACAGGTCTGTCATCCATTGAAGGAACAGTGCCCCAAGACCTCAATGAAACATTGTTCCAGCTGGTGGGTACTGTGCTCTCTCTTTCTGGTACACATTTCCTGAACTGAATTGGAAGATCCCATTTAAAAAAAAAATAAATAAAAAAAAATCTGATTCTTTGCATTCACCAGTTGAGGGAGCAGAGAATACACCATTTGAGCTAAAGTTCTGCCAACACATGAGATAGGGTGAGATACGGAGTGGATACCAGGTTTTACTGGTAGGTATCATATGAACTTGATCACTGAAGCATAGCTGTGTTTAGGATGAGGAGTCACAATAGGTTCCAAAAAAATTGGATTTTTGTTTCTGTGACAACTTGTTTTCCTCTTGTTTATGGCATCTTCATCTTCTGTTAACATGCTTCTGAAATAAGACCTTGTACATCATAGTCCTTATCCTCAGCCCAGGCCGATGATGACTTTCCTGGTACCATGTCTGCCCTGAACCCAACATACTCCAGCAACCACATCATTGCATGCTCGCTTCAGCTTTCTCTCTGAACAGAAATCAGATTTACAAAAAAAAAAAAAAAAGTAGCCCAAGCAGCGACCAGTGAATTTCCTTCTCCACAAAAGCCAATATATTATTGCTACCACAATCCTGGAGAGGATCCCTGGGGGCATGTATAAAGATTACAGCTGTCAAGCGATTAAAAAAATTAATCACATAATTAATCACACAAATAATTTAAATTATTTAAATATTTTTGGATATTTTCTACATTTTCAAACATATTGATTTCAATTACCACGCAGAATATAAAGTGTACAGTGCTCACTTTATATTTTTTTATTACAAATATTTGCAATGTCAAAAACAAAAGAAATAGGGTTTTTCAATTCATCTAATACAAGTCCTGCAGTGCAATTTCCAGATCATGAAAGTTGAACTTACAAATGTAGAATGTATAAAAAAACCTGCATTCAAAAATAAAAAACAATGTGAAACTTTAGAGCCTACAAATCCACTCAGTCCTACTGCTTGTTCAGCCAATCATGCAGACAAACAAGTCTGTTTACATTTGCAGAAGATACTGCTGCTCGCTTCTTGTTTACAATGTCACCTGAAAGTGAGAACAGGCATTCGCATGGTACAGTTGTAGCTGGCATTACAAGATATTTACATGCCAGATGTGGCAAAGAGTCATATGTCCCTTCATTCTTCAACCACAATTCCAGAGGACATGCGTCCATGCTGATGACAGGTGCTGCTCGACAACAATCCAAAGCAGTGTGGACCAACCTATGTTCAATTTCATCATTTGAGTCAGATGGCATCAGTAGAAAGTTGATTTTTTTTTTTGGTGGTTTGGGTTCTATAGTTTCCGCATCAGAGTGTTGCTCTTTTACGACTTCTGAAAGCATGCTCCACACCTTGTCCCTCTCAGATTTTGGAAGGCACTTCAGATTCTTAAACCGTGGGTCGAGTGCTGTAGCTATATTTAGAAAAATTCACATTGGTACCTTCTTTGCATTTTGTTAAATTTGCAGTGAAAATGTTCTTAAAATGAACAACATGTGCTGAGTCATCATCCAAGACTGCTATATCATGAAATATATGGCAGAATGCGGGTAAAACAGAACAGGAGACATACAATTCTCCCCCTAGGAGTTCGGTCACAAATCTAATTAACGCATTATTTTTTTAAACGAGCATCATCAGCATGGAAGCATGCCCTCTGGAATGGCTGCCGAAGCATGAAAAGGCATATGAATCTTTAGCGCATCTAGAACGTAAATATCTTGCAACGCCAGCTACAACAGTGCCATGCAAACACCTGTTCTCACTTTCAGGTGACATTGTAAATAAGAAGTGGGCAGCATTACGTCCAGTAAATGTAAAACTTATTTCTCTTAGCAATAGGCTGAACAAGAAGTAGGACTGAGTGGACTTGTAGGCTCTAAAGTTTTACATTGTTTTATTTTTAAGTGCAGTTATGTAACAAACAAACAAATCTACATTTCTAAGTTATACTACAGTATTTGTATAAGGTGAATGAAAAAAACTTGTTTATCATTTTTACAGTGCAAATATTTGTAATCAAATATAATATAAAGTGAGCACTGTACACTTTGTATTCTGTGTTGTAATTGAAAGCAATATATTTGAAAATGTAGAAAAACATGCAAAATATTCAATACATTTCAATTGGTTTTCTATTGTTTAACAGTGCAATTAAAACTGATTAATCATGGTTACTTTTTTTGAGTTAATCGCGTGAGTTAATGGAGATTAATCAACAGCCATAATAAAGATCAAATGGTAATCAAAGCAGGGAAACGAAAAACGCTGCCCGCCTGCAAAACTTAACAATTGCCCAAGGATGGATAAATGGGAATGCTTTAAAGACAGCCATCATTAGGAAAGATAGCTGCATCAGAGGGTATCTGCTCTGCTTGTCCCTGATTCACTGAGGTTAGAAATAGGATGGAATGGGTTGCAATGCTCCAATATGAAGTACACCTCTACCCCGATATAACGCTGTCCTCGGGAGCCAAAAAATTTTACCGCATTATAAGTGAAACCGCATAATATTGAACTTGCTTTGATCCGCCGGAGTGCAAAGCCCCGCCCCCCCGTAGCGCTGCTTTACCGCATTATATCCGAATTCGTGTTATATCGGGGTAGAGGTGTAGATGGATCATTTCATTCAGGTTGTGGCTTTTCCATGGGTTGCTGAGATGGAGAATAGGACAAAGCTGTTCCTAAAATCCTTGCACAGTTCCATCAGGCACGCCTCTACACAATATCCAATTATCTCATTTGATCAAAACTATATGTAACGCTTTTGCTCCCAAAATGAAAGAGCCTAACACTAATCAGGGGTCTAATTCCAAACAGGGCTGGGAGACCTGCAGATAGCTCAGGGGCAATAGAGAACAGCTACAGACCCTGAACATGTTCTAGCTATCACTTGCAAAGAGATATTTTCTCCTGTTACAATTCACAGATCGCTTCAACTTGCCGCATGACATGTATTTCCTCCTATAATGTCTGCCAGGAGTCAATACTGCAAGCTGACTTTTACAATACTCTGAACAGCCTCAGTTTTCCATAAAGTCTCCCATTGTATCATTAAAATAGCTAGGAACTTTGGGATCAGACATTCAGACAATAGCCCCATATTCCTGCATAAAACAGATTTGAAACCCACTTTTTTTCCCCTTTCCTATCCAGAGAAAAGCTGCTAGGCCATATGGTTTTTAGGTTGCGAGGGAACATACCTGCAACACTGTCCACCTGTGTTAGCACGGATTGTGAAAGAATGCTGAGGCACTGAAATACGAACAGTCATCTGGCACTCCTATGTGTCAGCCACCTGTAAGTTTTCATGACCAAACGAGGGGGCTAAGAATATACCTGCCTGGACTTGGCTGCCTTTGGTGGGCCTATGCAATGAAGAGGCCACTCTTCCGGTTCACACTCTCTCCGAGGTAGAAACACCTAGTCCCTAACCACCCCAGAAGCGACTGAAGTGAGGTTTTCCATCTGGCATGCTCCCCTTCTGGCTTCAGTCCCTTCACAGAGATGGACTGCTTGCCCCGGAGCTAGTTCTTTTCCAATCCTACCTGCCTCCTTTCTTGCCAGGGGAAGGGCTAAGGTGACCCACACACCTGGCTTGGGCTGCATCACGCCTAGTTGAACTAGCCCTCCAATGCTGCCTGTTTCCTCTCCTGCCTGGGGAAGAATAGCTTAGAATACCCCACCCAGACTGGGCTGTGAGGAGAAAACTATGTTCTGACCACAGAGCTGGTCAAGCCCCCTAGCTAGACACTATTTGTGGAGGAGGATGAAAGCAATAAACAGACCCTTCCTTTTGCCTCTGGCTTTTCTCAGTGCTCGCTTGCTCTCTCTCCATCCCTCCCTGAAGCCTACAGGAGCACCAAATTCTGCATACACCTCAGAAGAGGAAACAGAGCTGAGGAGACAATCTCCCCAAAAATCAAATGCAGCCTTGGGACATGGCTAGAAATCACAGACAAATAAATTATTGAACCAACTTGCTAGTCTAAAAATTTGAAATAAAGTTTGGAATTGCCCTCAGAAAATCTCTGCAGCAGAGAAGTTTGGTTCAGCCTGCCTGCCTGCCACTGTACAGGAATAGAAAACTGGAGAGAACTTTAGGAGATGGGGTATTCACTGCTGCCAGTGACAAGTGAGGTTTTGCCCCCAAGTTGCAAGCAGGTTAAAGTACCTATTGTAACAGTTCTGTGGACCATATCATGTAGAAGACAGGCTGGACATTTAACATGGATAGCAAAAATACCCAGAATTATCCTAATTATAACAGAACTGATAAAACCTAAGCAGAGAGGCCGAAGGACGAATGACCACATGAAGTGCACTAAGCCTCTCACCTCTAAATACAGTCCCTTGAGGTCAAGGTAGAAGCAAATACACTGCTGCTGTTCATACTGTACCTGTCCCATAGTTAAACAGAGGACTTCAGGCTGCAGAGATATCAATGTGGCACCTTTCATAAACAGTATGTGTGGCGAGAAAAAGATGTTCTTCTATTTTTTTAAAAGGTGATAAGAGAAAAATTCTTACCAGATGTGCGCAAGTAAGTTAGAAGGCAGTCCTGTCTTTAAGAATATTTCTCTGGCTTCCACACCAGAGACAAAACCATCCATGTCTTTGTCAGTTTTCAGGAAAATTTCATCATATTTGATTTTGTCGGCAGGTGATACAACCCACTAAGAAAAAATACCGGTAAATCTCTTTGAAGACAAATTTATTTTTATCTCAAGGAACAACATAATTCTAGTTCTAAATCTCTTCAAATGACGTCAGTCTTTCCAATAAATAATGGCAATTAGACAGCTTAGAAAGATCTACTCCCAGTTGCTTGGTTTTGTCATGATCAGAACAGGTAAGACTTTTTGTCTCAATGGCTGCTTTTTGGACATACCAGTACTTCAAATAAATGAGCCCTGTGGTATATATTCCTGGCCTTTTCTCACTTCAGTTACTTACATCGGCTATCCAGTCCACTATCACTACCCCCTCACACCCCACAAACACCATTAATTTGTTGGAAAATTGCTTGCCTGATGATTACTGGATTTGTCTCTGTGCCAGATCAGACAGATGTTATCTGGTTGGGTCCTTGGGCTACTATTTTGTTGGGTTTTTTTTTTAAAAACAGTTTTCTTAATATTTTGACCTCTGCATGAGGCTCATATGCTTTAAAATAAGCATTTTTTAACTGAAATTTAAAAATGTATACTAAATTTTTCCTGAAGCCAAATTTATGTAGTAGACGACTTCCAAAAAGCACTTCCAGTAAACATCTTCACAGATGGTTAAATCCATTTTTTGCCTTTCCCAATCTGTTAGTGCCACCAGCCACCCCAACTTTATGAACATATTGACAGAAACAAAAACAAACAGCAAGGTAGTCTGTATGACCCGGCTCATCTGCATAACATTTCATTACAAGCAGTGACCAAAGAAAATACTTTAAACACAAGCCAATTCTAGGACTATACCTGTGTTAGTGGTGCTTTGGCAGGTAAATTGCCAACAGGAGACGAGGACTGATGAGAATCTTTAGCGAATGTTGACGATGGGATCAACTGCACTGCTCCTGGAATACTGACAGTTTTTCTCTTGGGAGGTGGCACCAAAGCTGAAGGCAAGGACATTGGCACTGGTTCCTTTTCCAAAGCACAGTACACCAAGAACATGGCCTGAACATGAAAACAAGATGGGATGGTCACAGCATTAACCAGGGTTACAATATTTATCCTCATTTTAAGAAGTGACCTACAGTACTTTTGAAGCCATCTAAAATTTAACAATCTTTTCAAAAGAACGAAGCAGCCTATAACTCAGAGGTGCCAGTTATCTAGCACATTCTGGGATACATTTTATAATAAGGTTCTCAAGGATCATTTGGTCTTCCCCTCTTGGTTTTTGCTTTTTATATTCCTATTCTGTCTTGCCAATTTCAGGGGATGGTCATAGCCCCAGTGTCACCTCACTGTTAGAGCAGCAACTCAGCAGTTAATTCCCTTTCCTCTGTTTTCTTCAGAAGTGATGAAAAGCAGCAACCGCCTACTTAAACTCAGTAACTACTTCACAAACCAGGAGAGGAAGGATAGCCTTGAGGTTAAAGCATTGGACTGGGTGAAAGATCTGGGTTCTGCTCCTGGCTCTGCCACAGGATCCATGTGAGGCCTTTAGACAAGTCACTTAATCTCTCTGCCCCTTTGTTTCTGATGTCTGAAATGGAGATAACCATGTATCCCTACCTCTCAGGGATAAATTCATTAATGTACAAAGCATTCATTCCACAGGAATGAGCACCATAGAAAAAGCCTATGAATAATCAAGTATAACCATCAGGCTCAATGTTTTTATTAGAAGTGTATTTAAACACAAGAGACCATCAAGGTAAATCTACATTAAAAAGACATGAAATGCTTTCTGAACATTAGCCAAAGAGGCGGGGCCCAGTTATGGTTTCTCCTGCCCCCTAACTGCATATGCATCCCATCCCAAGGGAGAGCAGCACACATCTCCTTCCAAAATATCAAGCCCCAAGCAGTCCTCCTTATTCTAGAAGAGAAATATTTGATAAATCCTAATTAGGTAGTATCCTTTGACAATCCTTTTTCTCTCTCCCCAAACCCCCTCAAACTGGAGTCTATCTTTCTGTTCTCTCTGGCTTGCCACATTAAACCTTAGCCTTTGAAGACTCCTTTGAAGTTCACTGCCAAGTAAACAAATCCTGCACTGCAGGAGTTTAACACCTTTTAGATTAGTTTCAGAAAGTTGGGTTTGCATATTAGGAAACAATTTCAGTAGTTAAATCCCAGGCCAAGAGCACAAATTCTGACAATAGAACAGAGCCGAAAGAGGCTTCACAGAGCCTGTGCTCCAAGTTAAATCTTTGTAGCTGGCAGATGTGGGCCAATCAGCATCCCTCCCACCACAAATGGGCAATGGGTGCCAGAGACTCCAATGGTGGGGAGATAGGGGGAGAGCTAGCTGGCTTCCTCAGCAAGTGTCTCCCTCCCTTGCTGCTGGGGAGGTCCCCCTTCGCTGCCAGCCCCTTCAACATCCCCCACTTGTTGAGGCAGGTGAGTGGCATTTGTTCATATTCACTAGTCCCTTCCAGTAATCATTCCACTTAATAGTTCTAACTTTGATTGTGGAATTATGCTTTAGGAAGGTTCAAATCTTAGAAAGGGTCACTTTTTAAGATGTACTATTTCACAAAATTTTATAGACTATTATGTTAATTATTTGCTCTGCTTGCCTAGTATGTTATATTCATTCCTCAACTTCATGAATCAACTGTTTTAGCACTCAGCTAAATGTCTGAAAATTACAGCACACACATATATAGAAGTTATAAGTACGGCAAAGATGAGTACTCTACAGGTGAGTTATCACAGTGTACATGAAATTATGTCCACAACTACAGTTAATTGGAGATTTAAAGAGCTGATTTTAGAAGAATTTGAAACAAGTGACAGCATAGGTGAAAACTGACGGAACAGTCACAAGTAAAATATTTTGTGGGTTCCTTCATCTGCCAGAAGGATATTCCTATTTCTATCCCCTTAAATCTGCCTAAATACCCATGTTTACATGTTACAGAGGCAGAGTTTCAGCCTCACCCTCAGAATGTTGATGCTTGTCAATAAGATGAAGAGAGAACGGTGTTTTCCCTATTGGCATTTTTATCCCAAGAAATATGTTTTCATTTTGAAGTCACTGCTAAACTCCCAATATTTGACTCTATGTTATTGAGTCAGTTTCTGGAAACCCAAATTAAAGACAAGCTCCTGGCATGTATACCTACTAGTTTCCTTTATACAGTTCTGAAAGGTTTCAGAGTAGCAGCTGTGTTAGTCTGTATCCACAAAAAGAACAGGAGTACTTGTGGCAGCTTAGAGACTAACAAATTTCTCTAAGGTGCCACAAGTACTCCTGTTCTTTTTACAGTTCTGAAAGTTTACCTCCTTTTTCAAAAGGCTTACACAAAGGAATAAGTTTTAAAATACTGTATTAATAAACGTTTATATTTGAACCTTTGTACTATTAATACTATCCAATTCTCTAACTGAAAAACAAACATTTCCTCCACCCTGATTACATGGTTCTTTCCTCTCCACTTGACGTAAGTGCTGAACACACACCCTTGACTAGTTCAACATCAGTGCAAGACTACAACAGGTTTTATTTACTCTTCATCTTCGAATTAAAGTGAGAGCGAGCTTCTGTTTAATCTCATTTTTATCCATGTAAATTCAACTTTTCAAGTACTGAAGTGAAACTAAAATCTTATGCAGAACCAAAAGATTGGCCCCAAAACAGGGGGAGATGACAAATGAGCAATATGAAGAGTCAGTGTTTTACGCTCGTTCTTTTAGATCAGTTTTTCCAGTTGTTGAATTTGGTCACCAAATATCAATGCAGAATATGTTTTTGAATTTAAGAATGGTGTTGTTGATTGCATATCTACCTTGAGAGCACTCAGCCTCAGCCCAAGTGCCAGTATTAGGATATTTGGTTGGACCTGTAAAACAATTTTTCAGTGTCTCTGTTCCTAAATGGAATCAATTCCTGTCCAGCATATATAGAGCCAATACAAGAATATGGGGAGGGTTAAAATAATTCTGTGCTTGCTATCACATTTCAAGATTGCTAGATTCTTCCCCACTGGCCTCTGAAGGAAAAGCTTTCTTTTTATTCATTTGAAATAGCAGCATTTAATATCATATGCCATTAAAGCCTGATCTAATGAAAAGAAGATAGGAATTCACATATGTGTTAGAGTTACATACAAGCCTTAAAAAGATAAATCTGATAAGGATTTCTTGCTGTGACAAGTATGTGTATCTACTGGTGAAAGTTACAATACATAAAAAAACCCACCATACATAAAATTCTCTCTCCAAACAGAACTAGAGAAATCCTAGACAAGAAAAATGACCTGGAATGAGACTACAACACCTCCCACAAGAGAAGGAAGCAATTTATGTTCAAATGGTTTCTACCCAAAGAAGGGAAGCTTAGCTTAAACTCCAGCAGGGATGCAATGTCCTTTGAAAAGAACATTCAAAAGAGCCCTTTGAAATGGACCTACAACCTTGTATGCTCACATGATAACTAGAAAGAACTGTCCCGTGGTTTGTAGATTAAACAAATTATATTTTTAATTAATGAGTATGTGTACTAGATTTATGAATATGACCAAACATCTCAAATCCTTATAAAACCTTTAGGAGTTCACTCTCACAAGTGATTTCTATACAAAAAGAAGAGGGCACTGACCTAGCAGGTGGGGGAGGCAGAAAAGCAAAAATAGTACAAGCAATGGAAACTGATGGGAATTTAGACTGCCACTGTGGCACGAGCTAGGATAACGAACAGAAATAAAGGAGAAGTAAATCAACAGATATGGGGTCTAAAAACCTAGCAGAATTAGGTTTGCAGAATTATGAAACTAAATGAACCAGTCTACTTACAACTGCAAATTCATCTCGATCCAACATTCCATCATGGTCAATGTCACTTAGTTCCCAAACCTAAAGAGAACCAAAATATATAGGTGATTGGCTCCCAACCCCCATACATGCAGTGTCAAACAACAGAATCAAAGCTTCTATCTGGTTTCAGATTTTAAAAATATCCATCAATCCTCTCAAACAGGAGGGACCATAGGATATTGAAAGTTTCCCTCAGCACTAGTTTTCAGTCAGCAATGTGCATTTGGATTAAATTGTATAAGAAAGCTATTTTCTGAAGGTGTAGAGAAAGTAGGATAACATCACTCTCCCTCAAAGTAAACGTTAAAATATACATAATTAAGTGGTCCAATACATTAAAAGGGAGATTAATGTAGCAATTTTACAGAATAACTGCAAAGATATCCTTTGAAACAAAATATACATTTATCAGTTTGTTTTACTCCTCAGTAAGATAACTGTACCTTTTTAGAAGCAGGGAAAAAACTACATGCCACATGTAAAAAAATTTGAAGTGTTTTACATATACACTATTAAATAAATAATCTTTAAAAATAGAAAGCTAACTGTAAAAATAAACTAATTAATTTTGTAAAGGAAAGTATGGTCATTTTACAATACCTCAGGAGTAAGGCTGCGAGTCTGTCAAGGAGGTTGCAGATTCCGTGACTTTTGCAGTGGCTGGTGCTGGCTCAGGGGGCTCCCCGAGCTGGGCAGTCCGTGGGCCAGCAGCAGCAGTTTGGGAGCGTGGGAGGGGACTCAGAGCAGGGGGTTGGAGGTGTGGGGGCGCTTACCTCAGGGTGGGGGCCTTCCTGGCTCCCACTGGCATGGCCCTTCAGCTCCTAGGCAGCGGAGGGGTCGTGGGGGGTGCTCCGCGCCGCACGCTGCTGGTACCCACAGGCCCCGCCCCTGAAGCTCCCATTGGCTACCGTTCCTGGCCAATGGAAGCTGCGGCAGCCAGCGTTTGTGGCGGGAGCAGCACACTGGAGCCCCCGATCCCTCTGCCACCTAGGAGTTGCAGGGATGCAGAGGCGGGTAGGGAGCCCCAGCCAGCCCCGCCAACCCTCCCCTGGCCACCATGGGGTCCCACTCCCGGGACGCGATGGACCCAGCCCACCCCCTCCCCCAAGCACCAGTGGGGTCTGGGCCTCCTCCCCCAGCACCCACAGCCCCCCCAGACCCCCTCCCCCCAAGCACTCACAGTCCCCCGCCCAAGTTTTAATCACAGGTATTTTTAGTAAAAGTCATGGACAGGTCATGATTTTAGTTTACTGCCCGTGACTTTTACTAAAAATACCCATGACTAAAACGTAGCCTTACTCATTAGTTACATTTTTATTACTAAAGATATTAAATCTGAATACCCAGACATTTCTCTAATTAGTACAGTTATCTTTATTATTTATTATTCACAAATCAAGTCAGTAGCCCACTAATTTTAGTTAGAATGATATTCTTACTCTTCCTAGGACATCCACCGGCAGTTTGGAGTTTAGCAGTACAGGTTTCACCTTATCCCCTGACAACAATCCATTCACAGGATTCAGACTGTCAAAGATAGCATCATATTTGGCCTTTTCTTCCAGCTGAGAGAGCAGAAGATAAATAGATTTATAATATTGGTAATGGGAACACTTTTAGAACAAAGCACACATAACCCAAGAGAACCACAGTTACTATACAGGTAAGTAACCATTTATTCAAATGCTTGTGCATGTGTTATCTTACTCTAGGTGAATCCCAACTAGTGCTACTTTGGTGGTGGGAACTCTGAGTCTGCTTTAACAGAGACTGAAGGACTCTCTTTCCAAAATTAGTATCTGTTCTGGGTGCTTCAACAATTGCGTAATGTTGTGCAAATGTGTGTACAGTCTAGAGGCGCTGCTCTGCAAGTGTGTCTGATTGGAAAATTTCTCAAGAAAGCCTCAGAGGTAGCCTGGCCACTGACAGAATGTGCAGTAACTTGTGGTGGTGGTGTTTGTGAGGTCATAACAAGTCCTAATATCTGAGGAGATCCCATGAGAAATTTTGTACTGTTGCAGCCCGTCCTCTCATTTTTTCTGCATATGCTAGAGAGTCTTGCAGAGGATCTAAAATTCCTTAGTTTTATTAATACAGAATGAAAGACGTCTACAGACATCTGAAGTGCATAGTCTTTCTTCATCCCTGCGACTATGAGATTTTGGAAAAAAACTCGGTAGATGTATCACCTGATTTAGAAGAAATTATACTACCTTTGATAGGAATTTAAGATGAGGTCTTAAGGAAACATTATAGAACATTGTGTTAGGGGGTCCCCCCCCCACCAAAGCTTGTCTCTCTCCCAGTGGATGTGACTATTACTAGATAAGCTATTTTAGCTGACAAAAGAAAGAGCAGGAGGCTAAAGACTCAAAACGTAGTCATGTAAAACCTGAAAAGAAAAAAAACAGGTGAAAGGTCTCAAGGATAAACTAGTGCTTTAATGGTGGATAAACCCTAACATCCTTTATAAAACCTCTCAACCATAGGGTGGGAAAACACAGACTGCCTTTGTATAGGTGGGTGAATGGTAGTGATGGCTGCCAGGTGCTCAGAAAAATGCCTGATTCTTCTAAAACGTTCTGAATCTGCAATGTGGCTGGAAACAACTGATGATGGTGTGCCCAGATGGGTACCTGGCTGTAATGCTGTGATATCTCCTGGATAACATGCAAGGTAACTGGAAGTTGAATCAATAAGCTTCATAAATCTGAGGACCAGTATTTTCTCAGCCAGGCCAGGGCTAGGAGAATCATCCTGGCTTGTTCTTGCTTTAGCTTCTTGATAATCCTGGGAATCATTTGGAGCAGAGGATACATGTATAGAAGCTCCAATTCCCAGGGGAACAGGAATGCATCCATCACAGAACTCAGGTTCTGACCAGCCCTGAAACAGAAGTAGCTGCATTTCTTGTTGTTTCTGGTCACAAGTCCACGTTGGGAAACCCCTATTTCTGGAACTTTGACTGCATTCATGATATGTGATTAACTTTCTGCTGAGGTAATCTGCTAGAACATTCTTTACCCTGAGAAGCTGTGAGGTATGAGGGTGATGTCATTTTCAATGCAGAAGTTCCAAAGCTGCACCACCTCCTGACACAAGAGATTTGACATTGCTCCACACTGTTAAAGTAAAACACTGTGGTCATATTGTCCATCGTCTTTCAAGATATAGTGCTCAGGATAGATAGCAGAAAGACTTGGCATACATGAATTACAGCCCTCAGTTCCAAGACATTTATAAGGCTGATTCTGGAGACCTTGAGTCTGTACCTCATCTAGGTGTGTTCAGCCAGCCGATAGCGGATATGTCCATCACTAACGTTTCTGATAGAAAGAGATTAGAGGTGGGGTACAGCAAGTAAAGTACCCCCTTGCAGACATTTTCCAGACTCATGCACCACCTTAATGCTAGGATTTGAGCAGCTATGTGAATCAGCCTGTCCAGAAGATGCTTACTTGGGCGATATGTGGACTTCGATCAGCTTTACTTGCACCGCAGGCAAACTCAGACACACGTGGAATGCCATGTATCTAAGCAAGGTGAGGCAGGATCTCGTTCTCAGGTGAGCCTAGCCTAATGCACAGGGTTAAAATGGAACAGAACCTTTCTTAAGGTAGACAGGCAGTTCTTGTTGTCGAGCCAACTCCAATTAACTCAATTATCTGAAATGAAGACAGTGTTGATTTGACCATGTTTATTTTCAGACATAACCGCATGAAGAGAGACTAGATCTGATGAATGCTGCCTGCGACTTAATCCATGGTCTCTCCAGGCAACATCAACCATCCAGATACAGGAATATCTGAATGTGTGTGCGTTAGATAAGGCACTAAGACCACCACACACTTGGTAAAAACTCTGATCACTGATGATAGGCTGAATGGAAATACCATATATTGGTAGTGGCAGTCCCCCACTGAAAACGTTAGATATTTTCTGTGGCTTGGGTGGATAGCCATATGAAAATAGGCATCCTGCAGATGGAGAGTGGCATACCAGTCATCCAGATAAAAAGAAGGAATAATGGAGGCCAGGGATACCATCCTGAACTTGATCTTTTTGATTAAAGTGTTCCGGTCTCTCAGAGTACGTCTACACTGCAGCTGGGAGCACATTTCCCAGCTCAGGTAGACGGACATGTGCTAGCTCTACTTCAGCTAGCATGCTAGAAAGAGCAGGGTAGCTGGGGGAAGCACATGCTGCAGCTTGGACTAGACGCCAGAGTAGAAACTCACCCAGACCCCCAGGTATGTACTTGGGCGGCCAGTCCAAGCCATCGCCCAAGCTATCCCTGGTTAGGTAGAGCTAACACATCCACCCACCCAAGCTGGGCAGCACGCTCCCAGATGCAGTGCAGATGTATCCTTATATCTAAGATGGGCCTCAGACTCCCCTTCTTTTTGGCGATGAGGAAACTACAGGAATAAAATAACCTTTCCTTGTGCTGTGGACGGACCTCCTCTATAGCTCTTAGATCAAGAGGAGATTGTACCTCTTGAAGCAGTATAATTTTGTGAGAGGGACGTGGAAGATGGATGGAGCTTAAGGCATTGACTGAAAATGAATGGTGTATCCCAATTCCAGTGTCTAGAACACAACGATCTGAAATTAAGGCATTCCAGACATTGCAGAACTGATTTCCAAAGGTAGAAGACGAGTCAGGAAGATCTGTTGTGACTGGGACTCTGCTCCTGAGGAAGCAGTCAAATCTGCTGCTTCAAGGACGGACTGCCAGTAACAGGTTGCTGCGGCAGAAGCAGATGATATTTTGCCTAAGAAATTTGTGACTTTTCCTGGATGAATCAAGTTGTCTAGGTAGAAAAGAGAATGGTCTATCAAAGCTAAAGCCTCTATTGCCTCCTGTAAGAAGTAGGTGTGTGCACACTTGCTATCTGGTCACTCTAAATACAGAAGACATTAAAATTGGAGAGAATAATCTGAAATAAGCTATAGCAGTTACTACATGTCTAAAACAAGTGCAAGTTTTCTTGGAAACTGCAGTCATAAAAATGGCCAGATATTGGTATGTAGGCTTTTTGAGTGTTTACAACTCTCAACATACCTTAACAGCCCATGGGACGTCGGCTGATGCTGTTCCACTGATTAGTAATGGGCTACCGGTATCAGTCTAATGGAAAACAGATCAAACAAAAATATATTACTTGCAAAGGGAAAACTGAGTTTCAAGACTTTTCCACTCATCTGAATGGGCCCTGCTATCCAAATCCATAATCACATTTTAATTAATCAACTAATGAAGGTACAATAATTTAGGATAAGAAATTCAAAGTGGCATATTCTCTTCATACTCAAAGCAACATCAAAGCGTAATAAAAGTACGCCTTAATTTATAGCTATACCATATTCCTTCAATGAAATGGAAACAGACTTTAATTGTCTCTACTTCTAACAATCCAAAGAAAAATAAATAGTAAAACCAGACTATTACACACCTTGTGGGTTATAAGCAGTACAAATGTCACTTTTTAATTTTTGATATAGCTGGTGCTCATGAAAATGAGGGAAGAATAGCACCAGAGTTGGGCATAGTGTGACCAGGTGCCATGGAAGCTTTCCCACTCAGTCTTCTAAGTGCAACTTCAATGTTGCCTTCAACATCCTTGTCTTAGGATTTTTTTAAACTAGAAAAAGTTCAAATGGCAATGCTAACAAAAATTATTTACTATGGTCTAAATTAACATTTTCTCTTGTGACCCAAGCAGGATTTTAACCCAAGTCTCCAGTAGGGCTAGACTAATGTACTCACTGTTGCACAAAAAGTCCATTTTTAAATTTTCCATAGCACTAAGATTTCCCAGTGAAGATGCTGCATATAAAACACTAAACCTTCCCAACTGTTAGCTTAAAGTACTTAAGGTTACTGAGCTGATCACAATTTTTATTTATTTATTTATTTTTAAACGTGTCTTACAAATCTAGGTGGAGGAACAGGCAAATTAAGACTACTCAGGGAAACGTCCAATCCATTCTGTGCACAGGCCACTAGTCGCAAAGCCACAAAAAATTCCTATGGAGGAAAAATAGAATTTTTAAAGGATTTACTATACAAAAGTAATTTAAACTCAACTGGAGAGCTGACAATTTATAATTCTTCTACATTGGCACATTTCTTAACAGGATTCATCTTGTTAAACTAATATACTTATTATTATTATTAAGCCTTAATTTATTTCAAAATGACTTACAGTAACATTAAAAGTATCAACCATTACACAGTAGCAACTCTAGAAAACCTTAACACCTTATTGAAAGGTCTGCCAAAATATTTAACGGTGCAGCAAGGAAGGGAAGAAACTCTGCTCTATTGAATGAAGCTCTGGTCACCAAGATAAGAGTTTTAGTGCATTCATGCCGAGAGAGATAACAAGGACTAATTTTTTACACTATATACTCATGGAAATGAGAGGTACAACATCTTCCGAAATATCTTAATATCCTCAAAAAGGGCTCAAACAACATAGCAATCAATCTTGAGGGGCAACACACAGCCTTAACAGATTAAGCTATGAGGCAGCTTTGGGGCAGGAAGGTGGGACAAGTGTTCTCAGATGAAAATATTGTCCTCCATAAGCCATTCTCTCTCCATGCCTTGGTCTCTGCCTGTTTATCACCATATATTTACTGGATTGGAGGACCATCTCGTATTAGACAGACAGAATTTCAATTTAAGAGACATTGGCTTGAAGATTTATTCGATATGTGTCAGTCGATTCTCTAACATTACTAAGGGCAGGCTACACTTAAAATGCTGCAGCGGCTGTGCTGATGTACCGCTTCAGTGAGGACACTACTACACCGATGGGAGAGCTTCTCCGGCAGCATAGTTAATCCATCTCCACGAGAGGCAGCGGCTATGTCAATGTGAGAACCCCTCCCACTGACATAGCACTGGCTACTCCGGGGGTTAGGTTGGTATAACTGCTTCGCTCAGAGGTGCTCACCCCCAGCGTCTTTGATCAGAGATTTCTCACAACAGTGTCCGTTCAGCCCGTGCATGCGTGTTAGTCAGTCTCCTGCCCTAGCTATTGTTACATAGCACTGCGTGGGCAAACTGCCCTCAGTTCTTTTTCTACTGAAAAGCCCCATGGCAGAAAACTCCGAAGCAGAGGGGAAGGAGGGCAGATAGCAGAGCACCCATAGGGGGACACATCTCGAAGAACCACAATTATTGCACAGGGTGAATAACCATTCCTCCTCCTTCAAGTAGTGTCCCTATGGGTGCTCCACTCTAGGTCACTACTGAGCAGTATCCTCTAAAGGTGGAGTGGGCTTCAGAGTCAAGTCCAGTATGGAGGATAGCACAGCCAAGCCGAACACAGTATCAGAGGCAGACTCATGAGTTATTGAATAGTGTTTGGTGAACTTATGAACAGTTGCCCAAGTAGTGGCTTTACAGATTTCAATAATTGGCACGTTTGAGGAAGGCTGTAGAAGTAGCAATAGACTTTGTAGAATGTGTGTGTATAACCGACGGTGGTTGAATATTGCGAGACTTAACAAGAATTAATGCAGCCTGATATCCATTTGGAAAATCTCTGTTTAGGGATTGCCGACCCTTTTGACTGATCTGCTAGTGAGACGAATAACTTGTGGGTCTTCATGAAAGTCTTTGTTCTGTCTAGATAGAAGGCCAGGGCTCTCCTGACATCCAAGGTGTGCAGCAGTTTGTCCTGGAGATTTAGATGCAATTTGGTGTGGAAGACAGGCAACTGAATGGGCTGATTACGATGGAACTTGGAAGAAACCTTAGGTAAGAACTTGGGGCAGGACCGCAGCATGACCTTGTCCTTAAAAAACATTGAAATGAGGGTATGCAATTAGGACTCCTAACTCTCCAATATGTCACACCAACATGATGGCTATCAGGAATGCCTTCTTAATTGACAAACGGAGCAGTGTGCAAGTAGCCAAAGGTTCAAACATCTATCTTGTAAGGGATTTAAGGACCAGAAAGAGGTCCCATACTGGAGTAGGATGTTGGACTGGCAGATAAGAGGTTTCCCAAACCTCTAAGGAATCTTGCTGTGGTCGGGTGCGTGAAGACAGAATAACCCTCTATTGGGTGGTTGAAAGCCATGATAGTTGCCAGCTGGACTCTTCTAGAGCTCAGAGACAGGCCCAAGATTTTCAGCATTAGGGGTGTATTCCAGTATTTCCAGAAGTGCTACAGTTGTTGGTGGAATCTGTCTGCAGTCACACCAGGTGGAAAAGCATGTCCATTTCTGAGAATATGCATAGCAAGTAGATTGTTTCTTGCTGTGTAATAGTACTCTTTTTATGTCTTCTGAGCAGGCTGCCTCTAATCCCATGAGCCATCGACCAATCATGCTTTGAGACGAAGCATTGTGAGAGGAGATGGGGAGCAGCATGGAGAGTAATCTGAGAGCAGACAGACAGCTGTATAAGGTCAGGCAACCACGTTTGCCTGGGCCAGGTTGGAACTATTAGAATGACCCTGGCTTCTATCTTTATTTTAAGCATAACTTTGGCTATTAGGGAGGATCAGCAGGAATGCATTTAGTAAGGCTAATAACCACTGAAGGTGAAAAGCAACCCCTAAGGATTGGTGACCCAACCCACCCCTCGAGCAGAAGTTGGTGCATTTCTTGTTTGACTCTATGGTGAACAAGCCTACAGAATATGTGGTATAATATGCTGGGGTCTGTTTCCAACTCATGGTCTCACAAGGAGTGTCTGCTGCATCCGCAATCACGTTCTGAATCCTCGAGAGATAGGCCACTGTGATGGTGATCTGGTTGCATATGCACCAGTTCCAAAGCCTGAGAGCCTCAGTGCAGAGGGGGATCTTGCTCCTCCTTGGCAGTTGATATCAAACAGGCATGATAGTCTGTCATGATTTTTGTGTTTGCGTCCCTGTTTTGTAGTAGGAATTGGAGGCAGGAATATCCAAGTACTCTGAGTTCCAGCAGCTTGATGTGTAGCATCATCTCTTGCGACATCCACTTGCCCTGGGTCATGTAAGTGTCTAGATGTGCTCCCCACCCTAGCAGAGAGGCATCCGTCATCATAATGACCATTGGGGGAGGACTTGCAAATGGAACTCCTGTGCACAAATTATGGATGGTCTTTCCACCAGTTGAGGGATTGTTTTACAAAAGATAGGTATGGAAAAAAGCATATTTAAACTGTATCTAGTGGGTGGATAGACAGTTCTGAACCACCCTTGAAGGCAGTGCATTCAAAGTCTTGCATGTTCTGTAATGAAGGTAATGGTTGCCAGGTGTCCCAATAATTGAATGCAATTCCTGACAGTGGTTTGGGGGCTGAGATGAATTGTGTTTGCTATTTTGGAAAGAGCCACAAACCTGTGCAGAGAAGGTAAGCTCTTGCTGTCACTGAATTGAGATGTACCTCTATGAACTCTAAGTTTTGCACAGGGGTCAAAGTGAACTTTTGTATGTTCAGTTGTAGGCCCCTTTTGAGGAAGAGGTCTATGGCCTCAAAAGCTGCCTGAGACATCACTTCCAGGGAGCCACCCTTCAGCAACCAATCATCCTTTCCTGTGGAGCTGTGATATTACCACCACCATGATCTTTTGAGAAGCCCCCTGGGGCTAATGATAGGCCGAAGGGGAGCACTCTGTTTTGGAAGTGATCCTGGCCAAGAATAAAGCAGAGAACCATTTGTGGGATGGGTGGATAACAATGTGGAAATACGGACACTGAAAGTTGAGTGCTGAGAACCAATCCCCTTCCTCTAGTGATAGAATTATCACTACAAGTGTCATCATTTTGAATTTCTGTGCCTTCACATAGGTGTTGAGTAGTCTCAGGTTTAGGATGGGTCTCCAATCTCCACTCTTTTTTGGTACCAGGAAGTACATTGAATAAAACACCTTCCCTCTGTGCAGAATGGTCCCAGATGGTCTCTCTGGGCCCATGGCTTTGCCACCTTGCAGTCTAGCTGTGCCCTGGGTAAGGAGGTTCAACAGTACCTGATTGTGGTGCCGGGGTAGCTGAGGAAACTGAGGACCTCAGCATTTTAGAGATGGGTGCTCTATCTGGCGAATCCAGGGTATGTTCTTTCAAGGGCTTATGAGAGGAGTCCTGTCTTCCTCTTAGATGCCCTAGAACTGTGGGGCTCCGAGGCAGCAGACTTGTATGGGGACCGACATACAGGGTGAGGGGGGGTCCATTGGCCTGGCTTGGAGGCGGGATGTAGAGAGTTCTCCATCATGAGAAGGTGGAGCTTTCTCTGTATTTTTTCTGGCTCTTGATTTCAATGCCAGACAAAAGTTGCACTTCTGAGGAACATGCAATTCTCAAAGACAACAGTTACAGTGCGAGTGTCCATCACGGACTGGAACTGCTTCCCAGCAAGACAGGCAGCGCTTGAAGCCAGGAGAACCAGGCATTATCTCTCAGTAAGAAGTAGAAACTATCTAAATACTATGTAGAGAAAATGAAACATTTTTTTAAAGAAAGAAGCTTTATCACAAGTATTTACTAACTATGGAAAGCTAGCACTAACACTACTACTAACACTCAGTAAGAGAGAAAAATAGAGTTGAGGAAAGCACAGCACGACAACTGCTAAAGCTCCGTCTCAGGCTGAGAAGGAACTGAGGACGGTTAGCCCCCACAGAGCTATAACAGGAGAGGGCACAAGAATGACTGACTACCACGCATGCGTGGGCCAAACGGATACTGCTATGAGAAATCTCCGCTCAAAGGTGTAGGGGGCGCTAGCACATGGAGAATGGAGCAACCATAGAGACCCTAACTAAAGAACTTTAACTTATTCCTGAGAATAGCATCACAGTTCTCAATGTATTATATTGTATAATGACACTGAGGCCAAGTAGGAATGGTGAAATCAACACCAGTGAATTGTGTTTTTCATATTCATTGTGGGTGACATTCAAACTAGAAATATTAGCTTTTTTACAGGAAGAGTTAGGTTTAAAAATCCTTTATCCTTGTTTCTAACAAAACAAACTACTGCATTCTTAAGGAAATTCTGTATTTCTCTGAATTCTAGTTTTAAAAAAATCTGTTTGCTAATATTTTAAACAAGACAAGACATTTTTCATCCAAACAAACTTATTTCCTTAAAGGGTATGTCTACACCCAGCCGCTAGTTTGGCGGCTGGCAATCGAAGTTCTGGGTTCGACTTATCGCGTCTTGTCTGGACGCGATAAGTCGAACCAGGAAGTGCTCGCCGTCGACTGCGGTACTCCAGCTAGACGAGAGGAGTACCGCGGAGTCGACGGGGGAGCCTGCCTGCCGCGTGTGGACCGAGATAAGTTCGAACTAAGGTACTTCGAACTTCAGCTACGTTATTCACGTAGCTGAAGTTGCGTACCTTAGTTCGATTTGGGGGTTTAGTGTAGACCAAGCCAAAGAAACAGTCAAAATAATCCTACCTGTTTGTTCAGGATACCTTTGCCATCTGTATCAGCTAAATCCCAAATCTAAATTAAAAAAGAATTTAAAAAAAATGTTTTTATAGTTGTGCCAGCAAAATTGTTGCTAACTGACAAATCCTCATCCTACTTAGACAAGGAATGCAACCCAAGCATAAATCTCTAATCCCAGGACTGCAAATTCTTCATAATGACGACTCATTTATGATGACAAATGCATAAAATTATAAGAGTATTTACAACTAACAGTTAAATTGAAGAGAACAGATAAGAAATAATGGAACTTGAATCCATTAGCTAACTGGATTTGTCCAATTGTCAAAAAACACCAAGCAAGCCAGCGAAAGAGAGAGAGTTAAGGAGTATTTGGCCCAATGTGTTTCATTCTTCAACTTTTGCTTGTTTTACATTACTTCAGTAATTTTACTTCACTTTCCACAGAATCTGCTAATCATGCCTAATGATTTCTTATTAAATACACAAAGGAAACCGAATCCAGTAATTTATCATTAAACCTTTAACGTACCTTTGTACACAAGATATACGTTTCAAGGTGAAAAAATCACTTTTGGACACTACATTAGTGCAAGGGATATTGTATGTTTTATTTATATTGCCATAAATTTCCCTAAAAAAACAACCAACAATTTTAAGTCTCTGAAGATTAAAAAGCAACTGGGGATCCAAGAATTGCATTCCTTATTCTTTAAAAGAGCAAAGCTGAAAATCAAACTTGGGGAGCCCACAAAGCAGCACAGAGAAATACATTAAGGTCACTGAGCTCAATATTTTAAAGTAAATATAAAGTTTTACAATCTGTTACAGTCTACAAATTAAATGTTTAAACAAACTCATAGTTCAATTTATTTACTCAATCACATGACAATTTTTAGGCTAGCTGCAAATTTGTTAATAGTTTAGAAATCATGGAATTAAGGTCACTACTCTGTCCTCATTTTTCATGTATTATAGAAAGTTTTGATCAGTTATAGTTTAAGGAAAAGAAAAGTCACATTTTATAACTAAAGTGCCTGCACAACTTGCCTAATAAAATTCTATAATGTAGGTTTGTATCCAGTATAAAATGCACGTTAGAGTTCCAAATGACCAAAATGTCCGTAGAATATATATTTTCTACCATTTAAAATAAAGTACCTGGGCTCTGTCATTTACTGGCTATAATGGTCACAGGTAACATACAATATAGGAAGTGCAGAGCACCCTCAGTACTTTATAGGATCAAACCCTAATCTTCATAGCATAACTTGCACAGTAAGTGCAATACTATTTATCCACAGAGGTTGTATCAGTGATTTTAAGGTACTTTGGATGAGAGGTGCAATATATAAAAGCAAATTATGTATATAAAATGAGACTATAAAAATATATATACACACTAGTATTTCAATTCCGAGAGGAAACTGACAACAGCAAAAGGCAGCATAATTAAAGGCATAATATTATTCATTACATAAGTAATACCTTTCCAAGTATTAAGTCTGTTAGCCCAGATTTTTTCAAGAAAGCAGCAGCATCAGAAGCCACCACTCTTCCAGTATTACCAGAATCAACCTGCAAAAGATACCATCACAGGTTAGCGCCCTGAATTGCTGCAACATACACCTGCCCCATCATTAGGATACCAGGGAAGAGTGCACATATTTTTTACTCTAAAGTGACTAAGTTCTCTCCAGTGTATTTCAACGGCTTCCTTTCAAAATGATGCATTTTACATTAGAACTGATGGATTTTAAACTGGGTGCTAAAATGAATCCACTATTTCACTTCCAAGGCTCCAGAGGTTAACATTTTAGGCTAAGTTTATGCACACTTTGTACTTAAGAGTTAATACTAGGGACTTAAATATTATTACATTAGTTTTTATTTATGATCATACATACATTTTGTAATCTGTTTAATACTAACAGACTTACAGAGAAGATCTGAGAAAACTTATCACAATACTTCTACTATAGTCTGTTAACACTATCTTTTATTGAGAGAACGAGCGCGGGAGCGATAGAGCGCACACGCGCGCGACAAAGACACACAAGCAGGGTAAAAAGATACTAGACTTCATTCCAGGAAGTTAACCACACAACAGATTCAGTTTTATTGTATTCAACATAAAAAAAGAACAGCCAGACAGAAATAAGAATAGTGAATGTTTAAAATCAAACAGCTAACATGAAGCTTTCATTACATTTAAGATACTCAGAGAATTGAACTCAGCTCTCCTTTAGTTCCAGGTTAGCTTCCTAACCACTAGATCACCCTTCCTCTCACAGTTTATTTTAAATATAGATTGGATTAATTCTAGTCAGAAATTAAGAAAGATAGTAACATGCATCCAACACGAAATACTTCATTTATTGGTAAGTGTTACAAATAAAAGCTTTAAGAGTAGCATTCAAGAGTTTTCTACCATTGATTATGGTTGTGTTTTAAAGTCTCCAGCAGAAGGTATAGGATTTCAAGTATACATCTGAGCAATACTCAAAGAAGAAATTGTACAGTAGAGATCTTATTTGGGTTAGACCACCACCTGAATCTCTTCTCATCAGTTCTTCCTAATTGTAGATTTTCTCCTTTAGTAACTATGCCTACAAAATATCTGGCTTCTATGTACATACAGAAATCCTCAGGAGATAGGTTAAATTTCATTGAGTAGTTCAGAGTTCATTATTAATAAACCCTGGAAAAGTCTGCAATGGTCAACTAGTCCTTGGCCATTCCAGCTTTTAGAGTTAGCCTTTTCCTCTCCGGGAGGAAAGTGAGGTAACTTGTACATCCAGGAAGTCAATGATACTTTCGGCAATACATTGAAGTATAAGATTGCATTCTTCTACATTTACAGAGAGGTCCCTAGGACAGGATGTCACCTAATCTCCTGAGGGAGCAAAATGTCATAGCCATATATCAGATTGTAAAGAATAAACTGAAAGCAATGTGCTACTTTGAGTTTCTGCAAAGTAGTAAAGTTCCAAACACATGAAATTATAGTTACAAAAATTCACGTTGAAGAGGTTAATATTTCCTTTTGTTTTGTCTTAGACAAGACAATTATTGATGTTCTTTTGATGAATGCATTTTTTTGCGAGACTGGGCAGACCAGGTGGCAGCTCATGCCAAGGCCCATGGGCCTCAATGAACACTGACAAATGCATAGCTGAAAACTAGTCTGGCTCGCCTGCATATTAGTATTGTTAAAACTAATATCAGAATTATAGGAATGCGTTTAGACTTTATGAAATGTTTGTAGGATTCTGCATGTATTAAATGTTATTTATAATATCTGTACCCCATGTTATAAATGTAATATTTTAAGTGTTTGCTCTGTAACTATAAAAGTGTTTGCTAAAACTGTAAAACACCGCAGTCAGGAGAGAAGCATTACCAAATGTGAAATACTAGCTTGCCACAAGAAATGTCATCTACTCCCCAACAAAAGAAGGCATATAGACACCAACCAAACCATTGTAGAACACATCAGTGGACAAAGACTTCATTGATTGCTTCCCCACATCCATGAAGAGGACATGTGCAAAAGCACTCATCCAATCATAGCTTGAACACTGGGGGGAGTGCATAAAAATCCCTGTCAAGGAGAAATCATCATCATTATGCTGTCTGGAATTTGGAGAGGGCAACATTTTCAAGCACAAGCGAAGGATCCCCCCAAGCTGCTTATCCCTAAAAGACACATGGAGCTTGCATATTACAGCAGCTTCTATTACCTTTTGCAACCTAGGACTAACTCATTTGTATGTGTGTGTTTGCCTGCTTTGATCTTGTACAACATTTATTTTTTCTAGGTTATCACAGGACTGGCTACAAGTGTTCTCTTTGGTAAGAGGTCTAAGGTACAACTAACATGCCGTAAGTGACAGATCCTTTGGGACTGAGAGTAACCTGAATATTATTGTGATTTTTGGTGAAAGGGACCATCTGCTACAAAGATAGGCTATAAAAACAACAACTTCACATTCTTTATCATGGATTGTAATGCCCTGAAATTCTGCAGGATTTGACAGCTATTACAAAGGACAGAGCAAAACAAATATAACTGAGGACACTTTGGCCTTCAGCCAGTCTTTAAAGACAAAGACTGATCGGAAGCTGTTCAAATAAAATATGAAAATGGAAAATTGAAGACTGGTGAGTGATGGAATTCAATTAATGTCCCAAATTTAATTTGGCCAATACTTTAAAAGATAATCCCAGAGCCAGAGAGGGCATTTAATAATCCCAAAGAAAGGCTTTTTTTAATCCATTGTTTAGTTGATCAATGAAGTGTAATGTTCACTGAATATTATGATTTGTAGTTCTCTCTGGAATAAATTGAGAATGGCTAGTGAGAAGTGATGATAGAGATAGTTCAATAGTTTGCTAAAAAAACTCTCTCTAGTATGTTCTTGCTTATATTAGTAAATATCTACAGTCTTTTGGATTTTCTTTTAAAACCAAGAGTATGATTACACTGTCTTGCAAGCAGAAATTGGACAATTCTCCCTGTTCAAGGAAGTAACAGAACATTTGAGGTATTCAGAGCACTAGACACTACTGAAGACAGTTATAGAATTCACTGATAAAAGCTTTGATAAAAATGCCCTGGATATCTGCCATTTGGAAGGTACCTTGGAGCAGGTTCACCTTCATCTGTTGATATTTCCACTTCTAGTGGTACTTTTTGTTCTCTAGCAATCAGCAGGATTTTTAGAGTCTGCAAAAAAACTATTGTGATTTAGTAAGAGTCTGAAGGTGAATAAAGTTTTTAGCAGAACTTTAAATATCTTCTCACTTTATCATCAGTATTTTTATTTCTTACAATAGTGGGTTCAACGGTCAGGGATTTAGTGGGATTTATTGCTGCCTTCCCCCCCCACACACACCCTTTTTTATTATTATTATTACAGTATGTTGGGCATATCTGCGAGCTCCTTATAATTTACGTGCAACTGTATTGTCAAACACAGCCCCACTTGATACCCAATGGGTCCTATTTGTAACCTAATCTAGTAGTTTTGGCATCCATTCAGGAAAGTGCTTGTTGGATCAGTGTTTTTCCACTTTTAGGGAAACCCCAGAGTCATATTGAGTCAGCAGTGTCTATTTTTAAATCTTCAACTTTATCCTCTAGGAAGGTGACTTTCTGAGGAGCTGCAGACAGGTGGCTGTTATTTGAGCTGATTCCGACACTGCTACTTTTTTGTTCCCCGATGTTAGGCTGATTTCAGAATAAGCTTTCCTTTCAGTCAGTTGGTTGACAAACAACTGAAGAAACTTGAAGACTGAAAACTTACTATCCACTATAGTGGTCAAGTTTAAGGCAGTTTCCTATATGATCCTGGTGGCCAGACTGCTGGGACTTGCTGGCTGTATGGCTCAGCTGTCTTGATCATCTTCCCTGATTTGCTCTCCCTGTTTTCAAGCTGAGAGTCCTGAGAGCAAGTTTATCAAAGCTGTCTTCAATAATGTTACAAAGGAATTTTTTAGATTTAGAAAGGTACAGGTACATCTGATTTAATTAGTTAGAATGCAGAAATTAGTACTTAAATGCAGACCTTAAAGAAAAAATTCAGCTAGGAGCTCAGAGACATTGCTTAGATATTATGCTGAATCACATTACTTTATGGATTTAGTTAAAAAAAACATTTAATTTCTAAATTTCAAAGTTACATCTCACTAATGGGAGCCATTTGCCCTGAACACCTGTGAGAACAAGTTCAAGTGAGGGATTCCCATGCAAGATTCCTAAGGTGAATCTCAGAACAGCTGCTGGTTTTACAGATCTAAAGGCATTTTTGGATTCTTCTATCACTAATGCCAAAGTAAACCCCTCAAGGAAGCCAAAATACAATAGGTACTGTATGTCATGAAGTAGCTTTATATACCGTAATCATATTTAAGACAGCCCAAATTCAATAACTCAGACTATGATAAACAGAAGCTATCCAATTACAATATTATCTTCCATATAGTATTAGTTTCCATTTGGAATGGATTTTCCTACTATTGTTGGATCTCTATAGATCTGTATCAATGTAATTAATCTTTTGTAAGTAATGCTTAAAATATATTTACACAAATTGAATTAAGAGAAAAGAAGTCAGATAACTGTATTTTTAGAGGATACACTGATCAAAGCCAGAATGCAGAAAAGCCTTTTTTTTGAAGGGGGGAAAAAAAAAACACCCTAGAAAATTATTTTAACTGATTTCAGTTATATACTCTTGAAAAATACCTTAGATCTAATATTATGAAATTAGGTAACCTCCATACTATTACTGAACCAAGGTTATAGACCATATTCATTTCACAACATATGCTATATAGGATGAAATCTTTTTTCCTGGAGTTTTCCTGTGATAGTATTAAATGTTTGAGCAAAAGTAAATGATGACCTTGTTTTCAACTCAGCTGAGTCCTCTCAACTACTGCTACTATGATGTGTAAGGATAAAGAATACACTATCAGCACCAAATGAAAAAGACAAATGAGGACTGGGGAATTCTAGACATCATTTTGAAAAAAGAAAAAAAAAAGCAATGCTCACATCAACCCTACAAACTAAGTTCAGAAAATAATATCAAATGCAACTAAATCTTTCAAGTAAATGCATTCCATCATTATTCTTGGTGACAATGACATAAAAACCTGTTGGACCGAGCCAGTAAGCAGGTGTGCCAGCACAGCAACCTACCTGACAGTGATGTCACATTTGAAGGTTCCCCTTTCCTGTCTTTGACTTGCCAGGAAATCTATGAGTAGGGGCTGATGCTCTACCCAACCACATCATGCCAAAGATGTTGTAGTTAAGTCTGATCAAACATGCATGGGTGACTCAACCAGGAATTATAGGGGTGTGGGTGTGTGTGGTGTGCCCAGCTCTCACAGGGAATATGGGGTAGTTTGATTTGTTGCTCTGCACGAATCTCAAGAACGGGGTGGAAGAGGAGAGGGTAGAATCTGCAGCAACTCTTTCACATTAGGCAAAAGACTAACAATATTCAGGCTGTTAACGTATGCTCCTCTGGCTCCATCTGAAGAGCTGTCACTGAAGTCCAGGACATTAGGCAGTTTCCCAAAATTTCAGTTCATGCTTCTGAACATGTGACGAATCATTAAGAAAATTCATCATCATCTATGAGCTTACAAATAAAGCATTCAATCTTGATAGCATTTAACAGCACAGTCTAAATAAATCAGCTGACTGTACTGGAGACAATCTGTCAGTCAGGTTATTCAGTATAGCCTAAGTTTAAAAACTGAGAAGAGAGAATAATCATGCTGTTTGCATCTGGCCTCAAATGTAATGTTGTCCCCACTTCAGAGGGAGATCCATTCAAGCATGTCCACCTGATCTCCAAGCCTCAGGATAAAAACTAGGAAACCCACTTCTCAGATTCTTGCTTGAGCTGTTATTGGGCTTGGTGGTAAAATCAACGTAAGTTTCCCAGGTCAATGTAACACTTGCAGACAATGACTCTTGTCTTGCTTAGGACCTCATGCCTTCCATTACATTGGATTCTTGCAAGTAACATCAAATTCTCCTAAGTAACATGACAATTCATATAGATGCACACGCATTGGATTTGTCCCTCAATACAGGACCGACAAGGGGAGTATGACTCAAGTATGACAAAGATGTGATCCTCATCTCCTTAAAGTTGACGTCAGGGTCCATCCTTGCTCCTGTCAAGGTGGTGGACCTCTTCTCCTTTAATGGCCAACCTCTGACTACTGGATCCAAAACAGAGTCTGGGGGAAAAGTAAAGTAGTGGAGACCCATCTCCCAACCCAAGGGGGAGGAAGGCGGGGAGCAGAAAAATATAGAAAGCTGCCCCTTTCCTGCTGATAAGGGGACTTCATTTGAAATTTATCAGATACTTACTAATCAGAGGCTAATAGAAGAAACTGAGCCCCTAAGCAAGGTCCAAAGAGCACCTTAGTAGGAATCAATCAGCTCTTGCCCTCCTCTCAGCAGCTGGAGCATACTCAGGACTGAGTTTCTTAATAGGAGGTCTGTAGTAGGTCTGCCAGATGATGGCAACAACTTATCTTAACCTCTAATGCACTCATATCAAAACACAATTAAACAAACCAAATTGTCCCCATTTTTAAAAGCCATCAATTTGGCAGTTGATAACCCAACTTCATTTCAGGTTGATTTGCAAGGACATATCCCAGATGAAAAAGGAAAAAATGTGTTAGCCTGCTGATGATGTGTTTCTCTATTTACCTGAGATTCTATTGAACTGTAACATTTAACAAGTTCAACCTAGAGAGTTTACTTAGGGTATTTCTACACTTAAAATGCTACGGCAGTGCAGCTACACCACTGGAGCTCTTCAGTACAGACACTACCTATACCGATATGAGGGATTCTCCCATCCATGTAGGTAATCTACTTCCCAGAGAGGCGATAGCTAGGTTGATAGAAGAATTCTTCCATCGACCTAGAACTGTCTAGATCAGGGGTTAGCTCGGTATAGGTAGGTTTCTCAGGGGTACAGATTTTTCACACTCCCCAGACACGTAGCTACACCAATGTAAAACCACTGAGGGCACTATCACAATATTAAAAAAAAAAAATCAGTCAAACCAATTTAGGATCTGGGCCCTTAAGTGTGGATCTGCCCCATGGTCTTTACCATTTTAACAAAGTATTTTAAGGCTGCAGTGATTTTCCTTGATACTCCATGAAGAAGTTACACAATACTGAACCCACCCTACACAGTCTGACAAAAATATTCAATCTTCATCTCTAAAAGGAATATGTCAACAAGAGAAGTTTTTAAACTGAACTAGAAATTTAGAGCAAGAGAATAAAAACTCCTACCTGTCGATAGTACTTCTCATACACAGGATTTGCACTGGATAGCTATGAAGAAAGATGCATAAGATTATATGATTAATATGCATAATTTTATCAGTTTAATTCACTTTATATGATCAAAGTTGCATAATTTAACATGGAAAACTAGACATTTTATACATGTCTTAAACTGGCTTTTTTTGTCAACTTATAAGATTGTTTACATTTCTGTTGTAGCTGCATTGGTCTCAGAATACAAAGCAAAGAAGTCAGATGCACTATGAATCGCTTTATGGTTTGCAGATTGAATTCCTTAACCTTCTCTTTAGAAGTTCTTGATACTAAATGCTATTGGTTTTCACTTTCAGAACTGTCTGCATTAATAAGTCACCCCACTTGGAAGTTAACACAGACACCAGCTCCACGCTAGATGAGAGAGACAGTTCATAGGGTATCGCAGTTTAAATGCGCAACTAAGAACTACAGGATATCCCAACAGAAATCTATCCCAGCACACAAGTTGGTACAGCACCACTGTGGGCATAATTTACACAGGTCTGGCACAGGCAGGGTTTTACATTGGGGATGCTCCACCCTGTGCTAGGCTGGCCTGAGCTAACTTCACAATGAAGACAAACCATAAAATGATATGCTCAGGAAAAGGCCTTCAATTCACTTCCCCTACTAGACCAAGGAAGTCTGAGTTGTGAGACTTGGTTCTGGGGCAAAGCAGATCTCTTTTTCTATGTGTTTGTCTGAGAAATGTTGGGGAGGCCGGAGAGGGCTATTATGTTTTGGGGACTGCCCTTCCTTTATCCTGAACAAAAAAAACTGTAGGTTTTATTAGATGTTTATGCCCTGAAAGGTATGTCTACACAGAAACTAGATACCAGCAGCTGTACAGTGCCAGCTGACTTTGGCTCAAGGGACTTGGGCTACAGGGCTGTTTCATTGCTGTGTAGACTTTCGGGCTCAGACTGCAGCCCAAGCTCTGGGACCCTCCCGCCTCGCAGGGCCCTAGAGTCCAGGCTTCACCCCAAGCCCAAAAGTCTACACAGCAGTAAAACACCCCAGTAGCCTGAGCCCTGCAAGCCCAACTTAGCTGGCATTGGCCAGCTGAAGGTATCTAGTTGCTGTGTAGACATACCCTAAGGCATGCTGACCGAGCACATTTTTGTAAGGTGTACGACTAGTATTATCAACAAATGGATAATGGGTTATATTTACTACCCTTAACTGGGAGTGCTGACCACACTGTAAATCTAGCACCTACACAAATCAGTAAGAAAGCAGAAAACCATTTCCTATAACTACAAACCAAAAATACTATTCATTCCATGTACAATGCAAATATATGACTAATCTTGCAACCTCAAACATGTGCATATGTGAGTGGGACTTGACCCAAAGATTTTATAATTATAGCATGTATTTCTAATTTCAGATTTAAAAGTCTTGTAAACTTGCATACAATTTGGACACTGACAAAAATACATAAGCAATTGTAGGAAATATTTTACTACAGTACATTACAAGATGGGCATTATAGGTGTAAATCTATTTCTCTTACAGTAACACTTTAGACTGTAGCCTCTTTGGCCCAGTGGTTAGCCAATATTTGGGGCCTTGCTGGGTTGTTTCCATTGTAAGGAGAAATTGATTAAAAGAGTAAAGGATTTATTTGGTGCACTGCTGTTTATTAAAGTCCACTTTTCCTGACCACAGTAGAAACGGATGACTGGAGGAAGTTTCCTTGTTCAGAAATCCAACTATTGGGGACCAACTATGATATCCCAGAAAGTGAGGCTCAGGAATCAAAACAAATAGAAATAGACAACTGGAGAACACTATATAAATAAAAATGATTGAGTTACTAAGTAAACTATTTGGAAAGTATGCTTATTTAGTGACATATTAACATTTGAATACACCTCTACCTCGATATAACGCTGTCCTCGGGAGCCAAAAAATCTTACCGCGTTATAGGTGAAACTGCGTTATATCGAACTTGCTTTGATCCGCCGGAGCACTGCTTTACCATGTTATATCGGGTCACGTTATATCGGGGTAGAGGTGTATTTGGTTTTTCCCCCCGTAACCCAGCTATTTGTAGCAAGGGTTGAATTCAGACCACTGGGTTTGGATTGAAGGTGTTGGCAGCAATAGTCAGAGTTGTCACCCAGTATCATGCTACCTCAGATCTTTTTATGGCCAGGTGCCCCATTAGGATTCAAGTTCGATTCCTTGAGTCACTTTTAAACTGACTCCGGAAATGTAAGACAACACATACAGAAGGATGTTGCTAGACTGACGTCTTTAAGAAATGTTTTTAGAACATTGGTGGTGTTAGATCATTGATGTTATTTACTATGAATTTCCTTTCCCACTTAATCTGCTAGCAAATATCTAACAAGGGATACCATGTTCAAGCAATTTGTAAACTGTTAATTCTATCGGCTTGATGAGTGCTTGCCTAGTTTACTTCTGCACTAACGCTCAGAGAACTTCACTGCTGTGAGATTTGAAAATGTTTACAAAAGTGTATTATTTTTATTACTGTAGCACCTAGGAGCCCTAGTCATAGAGCAGGACCCCACTGTCACATGTTGTACAAAACACAGTCCCTGCCTCAAGGGAATTACAATGCAACTGCAAAACAAGAAACAGATAGATGGGGAGAACAGGTAAACAATGAGACAATATTGGTCAGCATGACAGGTGGGTAGAGAGGTTAGTACTATATTCTCTAGTAACGTAAATAACATGCAAAGTTTTCACTATTCCACACTGATCACAGCTAAATTGGATCTTTCTTGCTGGCTGCAGCTAAAAAATGTGGTGTTATACTTGTAGTCCATATATGATATTTTCCGGTCAAAGACACCTAGTTTCAAACAGACAGCTTAAAATGTTGCCTGTAAAGATTTGAAATACCCCATTGTCAGAATGGGTAAGCCTAAAATCTGGGTGGCTACATTTGTGTTGCTTCAAGTAAACGTTTTATAATATAGACGTGTCCCTCTTAATCATCTTAATATCTCATTCGGGTCAAATCCACAGGAACCCTAAAATAGTTTGCAAATACAACCAAATTAAAATTACAAACAAAATTCTGGAACAAAACTATCTAGCGACTGCAAAGAAGAAATAAAAACCACAAAACTGAGTGTTTTAAGGCATCAAGTCTCCATTTGTCTTTCCTGTCCCATCTCCCCTTCCTGTCCCCCAAGGGAGGGACCATTAATCTGCCTCACCTAGATACACTACAAAACAATGTCATACTTCTGTTCAGCAAAACACTATTCCAGCCAAACCTATCATTGTTAGTCTTGGACAGGAAACACATGCATGTTCAGGTCATGGAATTACAAACACTTAAACTCAAAATAATCTTTTCATTCAACACTCATAGTACAAGCCAATAAAATTTCTCTCTAGATTTCTGATTTTGGGGCTCATTTTCATGATATCAGTACAACCACAGAAAATGGAATTTCCTGTGAAAGTGGATAGTTTGGAAGACAGTTTCATTTTACTGGCAACAGACTTCATAGTTTTCCCATAAAAGAATACGGAGCAAAAAGGCGAGTGTAACAGAAGATGACCTGTGTACTGTAGCTTTTTCCTTGCATCAATATATTATAAAGAGTATTTTGAATTCTTCAGTGCCAGTTAGGAATTTTGCCGGGTAACACTTCTTCACTTTACTGGAATTGGCACATACAGTTGCAGAGTGGAAATTGTGGACTCATTTTCAGTGTGAATAGTCAGATTCCACTGTACATAAAAAATTAAAATATACCATTGTAAATTCCATTAAAAATTAATTACTTTAACATTAACATCTGTTCCAGTAATTACCCTGCAAAGATTACAGTTTGCGTTGAGAATGTCTGGTCCTTACAGAGTCCTAACCTAGGAAACGAAGGCCAGCTTTATAGCCATCTGCCTCTTTGTCTTTCTGGCTTCAGTCAATCAGCCCATTATATCCTTTCATGTTTTTAATCCATCACCATCACCCCCAAGATACATAGGGGTGTATTTTAAGTCATTAAAACAGTTTTTCCCCCTTAGCCTCTGTCCAACAGGAAGTAAAGGAACACCACCACCATCTACCCATGAAAAAAGAAAAGAAATCAAACAAGCTAACATTTTGCAGTTTTCTCCATCTATCTTAATGTGAGACTGAAATACTATATTCTGCCTCCACGTGAAGGCATGCGAGATTAATATTAGTACTTCCAGACCCACATCACTCCAAGATTGCATAATCTAGAAATGAGCAAACACTGCTTACTTTTCCCAGTGCTGAAAGAGACCCAGAACACTCAAGTAGTATTCCCTAAAGAACAACGAGTGCGCCAGCTCTCCATTTATGTGATGTAGGGGAAAAGTGGAAAAAGGAACCAGCTCTGCAGTCAGTTTCTCTGTCCTTTCCATGGGGCTCCATATTAAGCTTCAGGAAAGAGATCTGATAGACTAGTCTTCTGAATTAACCTCTCAGCGGCTCTCCCCCTTGAGATATCTTTTCCACAGTGGGGGATTGTTCAGGCATTGTGATGCATTGATTAATTAGGTTCATTGATACAAGTGAAGGACATATGAAAACTGAGGAATCTTCACCCAAAATTAACTGCAAGTCCAAAAAAAATCAGTTTTAAAGAGTATTTACACTCTATTGGGTTTCTCTAAGACAACTCTGTACAGGTTTATAGAATTGAGGGGGGGGGGACATTAGATCAGCCTCTCTCTCTCTGGCTACGTAGGACAGTTCTCTATTCTATTGTTTTGCACTGTAGTTTGAAGTGTCTAAAGATAAAATGTTTCCCATCACTTCCCTTACCCTATACCATAGCCAAGTACAGCTCAGCTTCAGGATGTTTTTCTTGATTTTCAGCCTAAAATTTTCCCTTCCTAATTTCATCCTATTAAGCCTAGTTAGACCCCCTTTTTATAATGCTACATAATTCCACTTTGCCTGCAACTCTTATAATATTCAAATATTTGTACAGGGTTCT